AAACTCCAAAGTAAGGGTGGAACATACCAGGCATTGCTGAAGCTCTGGGGGCACAGCACAGGGAGCATAAAACCACTCGCTTTGCCATTCCCTGCTGACTTTTGAGTCGACTCAAAAGTCACCTCTGGGGGAAGAGCACAGGGAGCATAAAACCACTCGCTTTGCCATCACCTGCTGCTGCTGCCCCTGTTGCTGCTGTTCGAACAAGCCAAAACCCCAAACTCCAAAGTAAGGGTGGAACATACCAGGCATTGCTGAAGCTCTGGGGGCACAGCACAGGGAGCATAAAACCACTCGCTTTGCCATTCCCTGCTGACTTTTGAGTCGACTCAAAAGTCACCTCTGGGGGAAGAGCACAGGGAGCATAAAACCACTCGCTTTGCCATCACCTGCTGCTGCTGCCCCTGTTGCTGCTGTTCGAACAAGCCAAAACCCCAACTCCAAAGTAAGGGTGGAACATACCAGGCATTGCTGAAGCTCTGGGAGCACAGCACAGGGAGCATAAAACCACTCGCTTTGCCATTCCCTGCTGACTTTTGAGTCGACTCAAAAGTCACCTCTGGGGGAAGAGCACAGGGAGCATAAAACCACTCGCTTTGCCATCACCTGCTGCTGCTGCCCCTGTTGCTGCTGTTCGAACAAGCCAAAACCCCAAACTCCAAAGTAAGGGTGGAACATACCAGGCATTGCTGAAGCTCTGGGGGCACAGCACAGGGAGCATAAAACCACTCGCTTTGCCATTCCCTGCTGACTTTTGAGTCGACTCAAAAGTCACCTCTGGGGGAAGAGCACAGGGAGCATAAAACCACTCGCTTTGCCATCACCTGCTGCTGCTGCCCCTGTTGCTGCTGTTCGAACAAGCCAAAACCCCAAACTCCAAAGTAAGGGTGGAACATACCAGGCATTGCTGAAGCTCTGGGGGCACAGCACAGGGAGCATAAAACCACTCGCTTTGCCATTCCCTGCTGACTTTTGAGTCGACTCAAAAGTCACCTCTGGGGGAAGAGCACAGGGAGCATAAAACCACTCGCTTTGCCATCACCTGCTGCTGCTGCCCCTGTTGCTGCTGTTCGAACAAGCCAAAACCCCAAACTCCAAAGTAAGGGTGGAACATACCAGGCATTGCTGAAGCTCTGGGGGCACAGCACAGGGAGCATAAAACCACTCGCTTTGCCATCACCTGCTGCTGCTGCCCCTGTTGCTGCTGTTCGAACAAGCCAAAACCCCAAACTCCAAAGTAAGGGTGGAACATACCAGGCATTGCTGAAGCTCTGGGGGCACAGCACAGGGAGCATAAAACCACTCGCTTTGCCATCACCTGCTGCTGCTGCCCCTGTTGCTGCTGTTCGAACAAGCCAAAACCCCAAACTCCAAAGTAAGGGTGGAACATACCAGGCATTGCTGAAGCTCTGGGGGCACAGCACAGGGAGCATAAAACCACTCGCTTTGCCATTCCCTGCTGACTTTTGAGTCGACTCAAAAGTCACCTCTGGGGGAAGAGCACAGGGAGCATAAAACCACTCGCTTTGCCATCACCTGCTGCTGCTGCCCCTGTTGCTGCTGTTCGAACAAGCCAAAACCCCAAACTCCAAAGTAAGGGTGGAACATACCAGGCATTGCTGAAGCTCTGGGGGCACAGCACAGGGAGCATAAAACCACTCGCTTTGCCATTCCCTGCTGACTTTTGAGTCGACTCAAAAGTCACCTCTGGGGGAAGAGCACAGGGAGCATAAAACCACTCGCTTTGCCATCACCTGCTGCTGCTGCCCCTGTTGCTGCTGTTCGAACAAGCCAAAACCCCAAACTCCAAAGTAAGGGTGGAACATACCAGGCATTGCTGAACCTCTGGGGGCACAGCACAGGGAGCATAAAACCACTCGCTTTGCCATTCCCTGCTGACTTTTGAGTCGACTCAAAAGTCACCTCTGGGGGAAGAGCACAGGGAGCATAAAACCACTCGCTTTGCCATCACCTGCTGCTGCTGCCCCTGTTGCTGCTGTTCGAACAAGCCAAAACCCCAAACTCCAAAGTAAGGGTGGAACATACCAGGCATTGCTGAAGCTCTGGGGGCACAGCACAGGGAGCATAAAACCACTCGCTTTGCCATTCCCTGCTGACTTTTGAGTCGACTCAAAAGTCACCTCTGGGGGAAGAGCACAGGGAGCATAAAACCACTCGCTTTGCCATCACCTGCTGCTGCTGCCCCTGTTGCTGCTGTTCGAACAAGCCAAAACCCCAAACTCCAAAGTAAGGGTGGAACATACCAGGCATTGCTGAAGCTCTGGGGGCACAGCACAGGGAGCATAAAACCACTCGCTTTGCCATCACCTGCTGCTGCTGCCCCTGTTGCTGCTGTTCGAACAAGCCAAAACCCCAAACTCCAAAGTAAGGGTGGAACATACCAGGCATTGCTGAAGCTCTGGGGGCACAGCACAGGGAGCATAAAACCACTCGCTTTGCCATCACCTGCTGCTGCTGCCCCTGTTGCTGCTGTTCGAACAAGCCAAAACCCCAAACTCCAAAGTAAGGGTGGAACATACCAGGCATTGCTGAAGCTCTGGGGGCACAGCACAGGGAGCATAAAACCACTCGCTTTGCCATTCCCTGCTGACTTTTGAGTCGACTCAAAAGTCACCTCTGGGGGAAGAGCACAGGGAGCATAAAACCACTCGCTTTGCCATCACCTGCTGCTGCTGCCCCTGTTGCTGCTGTTCGAACAAGCCAAAACCCCAAACTCCAAAGTAAGGGTGGAACATACCAGGCATTGCTGAAGCTCTGGGGGCACAGCACAGGGAGCATAAAACCACTCGCTTTGCCATTCCCTGCTGACTTTTGAGTCGACTCAAAAGTCACCTCTGGGGGAAGAGCACAGGGAGCATAAAACCACTCGCTTTGCCATCACCTGCTGCTGCTGCCCCTGTTGCTGCTGTTCGAACAAGCCAAAACCCCAAACTCCAAAGTAAGGGTGGAACATACCAGGCATTGCTGAAGCTCTGGGGGCACAGCACAGGGAGCATAAAACCACTCGCTTTGCCATTCCCTGCTGACTTTTGAGTCGACTCAAAAGTCACCTCTGGGGGAAGAGCACAGGGAGCATAAAACCACTCGCTTTGCCATCACCTGCTGCTGCTGCCCCTGTTGCTGCTGTTCGAACAAGCCAAAACCCCAAACTCCAAAGTAAGGGTGGAACATACCAGGCATTGCTGAAGCTCTGGGGGCACAGCACAGGGAGCATAAAACCACTCGCTTTGCCATTCCCTGCTGACTTTTGAGTCGACTCAAAAGTCACCTCTGGGGGAAGAGCACAGGGAGCATAAAACCACTCGCTTTGCCATCACCTGCTGCTGCTGCCCCTGTTGCTGCTGTTCGAACAAGCCAAAACCCCAAACTCCAAAGTAAGGGTGGAACATACCAGGCATTGCTGAAGCTCTGGGGGCACAGCACAGGGAGCATAAAACCACTCGCTTTGCCATTCCCTGCTGACTTTTGAGTCGACTCAAAAGTCACCTCTGGGGGAAGAGCACAGGGAGCATAAAACCACTCGCTTTGCCATCACCTGCTGCTGCTGCCCCTGTTGCTGCTGTTCGAACAAGCCAAAACCCCAAACTCCAAAGTAAGGGTGGAACATACCAGGCATTGCTGAAGCTCTGGGGGCACAGCACAGGGAGCATAAAACCACTCGCTTTGCCATTCCCTGCTGACTTTTGAGTCGACTTAAAAGTCACCTCTGGGGGAAGAGCACAGGGAGCATAAAACCACTCGCTTTGCCATCACCTGCTGCTGCTGCCCCTGTTGCTGCTGTTCGAACAAGCCAAAACCCCAAACTCCAAAGTAAGGGTGGAACATACCAGGCATTGCTGAAGCTCTGGGGGCACAGCACAGGGAGCATAAAACCACTCGCTTTGCCATTCCCTGCTGACTTTTGAGTCGACTCAAAAGTCACCTCTGGGGGAAGAGCACAGGGAGCATAAAACCACTCGCTTTGCCATCACCTGCTGCTGCTGCCCCTGTTGCTGCTGTTCGAACAAGCCAAAACCCCAAACTCCAAAGTAAGGGTGGAACATACCAGGCATTGCTGAAGCTCTGGGGGCACAGCACAGGGAGCATAAAACCACTCGCTTTGCCATTCCCTGCTGACTTTTGAGTCGACTCAAAAGTCACCTCTGGGGGAAGAGCACAGGGAGCATAAAACCACTCGCTTTGCCATCACCTGCTGCTGCTGCCCCTGTTGCTGCTGTTCGAACAAGCCAAAACCCCAAACTCCAAAGTAAGGGTGGAACATACCAGGCATTGCTGAAGCTCTGGGGGCACAGCACAGGGAGCATAAAACCACTCGCTTTGCCATCACCTGCTGCTGCTGCCCCTGTTGCTGCTGTTCGAACAAGCCAAAACCCCAAACTCCAAAGTAAGGGTGGAACATACCAGGCATTGCTGAAGCTCTGGGGGCACAGCACAGGGAGCATAAAACCACTCGCTTTGCCATCACCTGCTGCTGCTGCCCCTGTTGCTGCTGTTCGAACAAGCCAAAACCCCAAACTCCAAAGTAAGGGTGGAACATACCAGGCATTGCTGAAGCTCTGGGGGCACAGCACAGGGAGCATAAAACCACTCGCTTTGCCATCACCTGCTGCTGCTGCCCCTGTTGTTGCTGTTCGAACAAGCCAAAACCCCAAACTCCAAAGTAAGGGTGGAACATACCAGGCATTGCTGAAGCTCTGGGGGCACAGCACAGGGAGCATAAAACCACTCGCTTTGCCATTCCCTGCTGACTTTTGAGTCGACTCAAAAGTCACCTCTGGGGGAAGAGCACAGGGAGCATAAAACCACTCGCTTTGCCATCACCTGCTGCTGCTGCCCCTGTTGCTGCTGTTCGAACAAGCCAAAACCCCAAACTCCAAAGTAAGGGTGGAACATACCAGGCATTGCTGAAGCTCTGGGGGCACAGCACAGGGAGCATAAAACCACTCGCTTTGCCATTCCCTGCTGACTTTTGAGTCGACTCAAAAGTCACCTCTGGGGGAAGAGCACAGGGAGCATAAAACCACTCGCTTTGCCATCACCTGCTGCTGCTGCCCCTGTTGCTGCTGTTCGAACAAGCCAAAACCCCAAACTCCAAAGTAAGGGTGGAACATACCAGGCATTGCTGACAGATACGCGAGAAGCGAACTGCTGCTGGTGAAACCTGCACTATGGAGGATGGACGTAGAGGGAAAAGGGTGAGTTAGGAGGAAACAATATAACAGAAAGCCCGAATGTGAAAGGAGAAGAAAACGGGGAAAAGAGGCTGAGTAGCGGCAGAAATCGAGTGAATCGGCAAGATATAGACGGCAAATGAGATAGAAAAACATGAGCTCCACAACAATACCACAGCCAAGACGAGAGTGGTGTGGAGACTGGACAGCCCTGACATGTGTATGTGTGTGTGTGCGTTTTTTCTGTTTCTTTGCAGTGGTGAGTTGAGGTGACTTTTGAGTCGACTCAAAAGTCACCTTGGATACTGGACAGCCCTGGCCTGGCCCCTGACATGTGTGTGTGCGTTTTTTCTGTTTCTTTGCAGTGGTGGGTTGAGGCACACAAGCATCTGGATTGGTACATGACCGTGAGCTTCAGGATGCAGATGAGAAGCAAACAAAGGGGGCCAGATGAGAAGCAAACAAGCCCGTTAGCACGAGCACAAAGCACAGGCAAGCTACGGTCCCAGAAAGCACAAGCTTCGTACCCTGCCCATGCTCGCCAACATATTCTGATGCTGCCGCTGCCATGGCGAATCCTCCTCCTCTGCTCCTCGCTGCCTTCTCCCACACATCCTCCGTCCCTCCAATCCCTTGTTCCCCTTTTTCCGCTTCTGCTTTTCTCTCTGCCGCTGCCGCTGCTGCCTTCCGCCTCTCCTCCTTCTCAATCATATCCAGCTCCACATATCTCTCCCTTTCCATCTCCTCCTCCTCTCCACCTTCCCCTGCGTCCCCTCCCCCTCTCCCCCCTCCTCGTCCCCCCTTTTTCCTCCTGATCGTTTTAAGATCGTCCAATAGATGCCTGACATCAAAGCGGTCTATCATTAGAGAATCTTCCCCCTTCCAGGGAAGCAGCCCGCCGCCGCCCGCCACGTCAGCTGACACGTCATCGTCCTCGTGGATAAGGCACGGCCGGCCGACCAATGAGAGCTCGTTCGAGGCGGGAGCGCAGGCCTTGACTTGGCGGGAAAGCCACGCAGGTTCCTCAAATTGCGGCTGCTGCTGCTGCTGGTACTGCCGGCGATGCTGCTGCTGCTGCTGCTGCTTTCGCGATCCGCGTTGGTACTGCTGGTGCGGCTGGTACGAAGAGCCTTGCTCGTACGGATACTGTTGATACGAACTCTGCTGTTGAATCGGTTCATCTTGGTAAGACCCACCATCCTCGTACGCGTACGTATCTCCGTACGCAGCAGGGGAGGGGGAACGACGCGCAGCACAGGCGTAAGCTGCAGGGGAAGGGGAACGGCGAGCAGCGCCGGTGTAAGCTGCGGCTGCAGCTGCAGTGCTGGGGTACGTATCCCCGTACGCAGCAGGCGAAGGGGAACGGCGAGCAGCGCCGCTGTAAGCTGCTGCAGCTGTAGCGCTAGGGCCAGCAGGAGCATCGGAGGATGGGTACTGAAACGGGTGATCATCACGGCCTGATGGGGGGTTGGTAGGAGATTTTCTCCACATGGCTGCGCGCGATGCTCTTCTGAAGAGTCTGACTACACACGCTTTCTAACTCTCGACCAGATAAAACGTTTTTTTTATTATAGCCTTCCAAATTCACCACGTGGCTGTGCGCGATAATCTTCTCGAAACACGCTCTCTAGCGACGCTTTCTGATCGTCGATCTGGAGACAGGATTTCGTTGATCTGACCGCTACGTAGGAGAACGGGAGGCTAGCATACGTCAGATACGCTGGTTGTTACGTAGGCTGGATAACTACGCTGACGGGAAACTCCCCAACCGCTTAGTTTGCCAACTTTATCGAGTTCCAATCTCGCAATTCTAATAATAACCTTTTTATGACAGTACCGTACTTCGTAAAAGGCTATTGCCGTGGAGGCGAGCAACGCAGAGGTGTGTGATGTGAAGGCCCAAGAATGCTCCGCAAACAAGGTGAAGGCGTGAGGAGAAATCGAGGGGTGAAGGAAAACAAGGTAAAACCGAGGGACATTGGGGGGACGAGGAGGGAAGAAGCGGATTTTCCGGTGTTCCCAAACCATGTGACACATGCCCAAAAGCATACATTTAGTAAAAACACGGGGGCTTCCGCCATCCGGAGCCAACAAGGGAACACTTACTTAACACGCGAGCACTGAGAGATTCGAACTCTCGCGGGCTAAGCCCATGTACTTAGCAGGCACACGCCTTAACCACTCGGCCAAATGCTCTTCGGTTTGATTTTTATAACTCTAAACAAACTTGATTTTCCGGTGTCCCCAAACCAAGTGACACAAGCCAAAAGAATACATTTAGTAAAAATACGACGACCACTCCATCCGGAGCCAAAAGAAGAGCACTTACACAACAACTCGAGCACTGAGAGATTCGAACTCTCGCGGGCAGAGCCCATGTACTTAGCAGGCACACGCCTTAACCACTCGGCCAAATGCTCTTGAAAATAGTTTTTTATTAAAATAATATAAAAGTTCTAATTATTGTTCATCCATAAACTTGGTAGAAGCATGGTAGATCCAATTTACTTCAACACCACCGTACTAAGTGCCGGATTGTATGCACCTAGGCATTTAGAGGCGTAAGCCTTTGTGAAACATGACATTGCTGTTGCTCTATTGCACATCTCCCGCCCTTTATTCCCTCTTTCACTCCCTCCTCTCCAGCCTTTGCCTCCCCTTCTCCCCGTCCGCTCCCTCCTCAGTCTCGGTGCGGTAGCAAACTGTCAAATGTTGAACATTGATATGATAGGCTATAGTGAGTTGCACTCTAGGGGGTACAGCTTCTAGGGTTGCTCATTTGTACCCCATTCGTTTCTATTCCAATCATTCCGTTGTTCGCTAACTTTGAGATGGTATCAGAGTAGGTGTCGATCCTCTCGCCTAGCCTAGCCTAGCTCGCGCCCTAGCCTATCAGGCAGCGCGCCCCGGGGTGCTTTAGTGCCAGAAAATAAATAAATAAATTAAACCCTAAAAAAAAAAAAAAAAAAAAAAAGGGGTTCACAGTGGGGGCCTGCGACTGTCGCCCGCGTTCCTGCTTGCCGGACGACCTGCACAGTTGCCTACATCCCGCAGCCGTCAGTACTGCAGCCCCTACTGTCGCACGTACTTTCCACTGCCAGTGGCTCTACTAGCGGCAGCCGACAGCCGCACTTACGGTCTCTAGCCCCGGCCGTTCCTACCTCCAGCCAGCCCTAGCTCGCCGCTTCTAGCTCCAGCCGTTCTCGCTCCAGCCGTTCTCGCTCCTCGCTCGTAGCTCAGTTTGCTCCGTGCTCCGGCCGTTCCTCGCCTAGTTTCACCTGGCGCTTCTAGCTCAGTTTGCTCCGTGCTCCAGCCGTTCCTCGCCTAGTTTCACCTGGCGCTCCTAGCTTAGTTCGCTCCGTGCTCCAGCAGTTACTCGCCTGGTTTCACCTGGCGCTCCTAGCTTAGTTCGCTCCGTGCTTCAGCAGTTACTCGCCTGGTTTCACCTTGCGCTCCTAGTTGTTCTCGTTTTTCACAGCAGCATGTCGCTCCTGTCGCTCCTAGCCTGCCGCTCCTGCACCCCGCTAGCTTTTATCATGGAGTCCACTAGGGTTCTCCAGCAGCAGGGACAGCAGCAGCGGCCTTTTCAGCAGTGGCTTCCGCAGCGGCAGGGGCGCCCTCAGCAGCTGTGGCGCCCTCAGCAGCCATGGGGGCCGGGTGGTTCAGGTCGCGTTGGCTGCAGCAGCGGCCCAGCCAGCTGGGGGGCTCGTCGCGGTGGCCGCGACGTCGGCCCCTGCCAGTACCGGATCCTGACCGGCCCTGGTGCTGGCACTACCTGCTGGCGTCCTGACCACTCTGCACAGCGCTGCTACAGCCGCCTCGACGACCTTTACCGTGAGCGTTTTGGGCCTGAGTCGGCTCCCCCGATCTGGCCCGGTCTGTTTCGTAGTGGTTTCCCTGTGTTTGATATGTCTATGGATGCTGTTTATTCTGTCACGTACGGATCTCTTGGCTTACGTGTACCTAGCTTAGGACCTTTGCCTGTTGCTAGTGTCGGTACTTGTGCTTTTAGTGTAGGTGCTTGTGTAGTCACTAGCCCAGCCGTGACGACTGCTGTTGCGTCGCTCTCCTTCACGCTGGACTCCGGCGCGTCTCAGTGTTTCTTCCGCGACCACACCACTGTCACACCTCTTTCGGCTCCAGTCCCAGTTGCCCTGGCTGATCCTACTTCAGGACCAGCAGTTGCTCGTAGCTCGACCACCCTCCCGTGCCCGGCTGTCCCCTCTGGTTTCCTCACTGGTCTCTACATCCCCTCGTTCTCTCGGAACTTGGTGGGTGTTGGATACCTTCAGGACCGGGGGATCACAGTCACTTTTCCTGCGCACGGGAGGACTGCGATCTGTACGGACTCTTCCACCGGGGCAGTTCTTGCCACGTTCACCAGAGAGCCCCACTCAGGTCTCTTCGTCCTGCACACTCCGCCCCCGCAGGTAGCTGCGTCTGGTCAGGTTGCTTCGTCCCCCCCGGTAGTAGAGTCCGGTCAGGTGGCTGTGTCCAGTCCGGTCGCTGTGTCCACTCCAGTCGCTGCGTCTTGCTCCTGTCGCTCTCTCGCCCACCGCACCGTCCTGTGGCACCACCGTCTTGGCCACCCGTCGATCCCTCGCCTTCGTGGCATGCTCAGTCAGGGACTAGTCACAGGTCTCCCACGCACCTTCCCGTCGCTCCCTCCCTCGCTTGCCCCTCCTTGCTCTCCGTGCGTCGCCGGTCGCTTACGTGCCACTCCCCACTCCTCCTCCCTTCGTCCGGCCACCGCTCCCTTCGAGACTCTCCACTTGGACGTCTGGGGCCATGCCCCGACGCAGGGGTCTGGGAGGGAGCGCTACTTTCTGGTGGTCGTCGACGACTTCTCCAGGTACACCACAGTGTTTCCTCTTGCGAAGAAATCCGAGGTGACTGCTACGCTGATCAGGTGGCTTCTAGCCACTGAGGGCACTCGTGGTCGTCGAGTCAGTTGTCTTCACTCCGACCGTGGGGGCGAGTTTCGCTCCGGCATTCTCGGCGGATTCTGCGGCGAACAGGGCATCACCCAGTCCTGGACGCTGCCAGAGTCCCCACAGCAGAATGGGGTTGCTGAGCGCCGCATAGGCTTGGTCATGGACATCGCCCGCACGTCCATGATTCATGCCCGTGCGCCCCATTTTCTGTGGCCTCACGCGGTTCGCTACGCCGCACACCAGCTGAACCTCCAGCCGCGTGTCTCGCGGCCCGAGGCTTCACCGACCAGTCTCTGGACTGGATCCCCTGGTGTTGGGTCGGCCTTTCGAGTCTGGGGCTGCCTTGCACTTGTTCGCGACACCTCCGCGGACAAGCTCTCGGCACGCGCCGTCCCCTGTGTCTTCCTTGGTTTCCCGGTGGACTCTGCTGACTGGTCCTTTTACCACCCTCCCCTCCACCAGTTCCTAGATTCCCGTGACGTCCGGTTTGACGAGTCCGTGTCCTACTACACCCGGTACCCCTGTCGAGGTCTCCCGGTACCCCCTCCCCCTCTCTTCCTCGCACCCTCTCCTCCTCCTGCTCCCGCTCCTCCGGTACCCCCGCCCCCCCCTGGTCCTGCCCCGTCTGGTGTGTCCCACGCTACCCCTCTCCCCTCGGTCGCGCGTCAGGTAGCGTCTCCCTCCCCGCAGTCCTCCTCACAGTCCCCTCAGCAGCCTTCGGCACTTCTGCGACAGGTTACTGTGGACTCGGTTGGTGTTGGAGCTGGAGGTGCAGCCGCTGGCGGTGCTCGGTCTGGGGGTGCTCGGTCGCGGGGTACTGGAGCTGGAGGTGCTGGCGCAGGTGACGCTGGTTCTGGGGGTGCTGGAGTTGGGGGTGCTGGCACTAGCGGTGCTAGTTCTGGGGGTGCTGGAGTTGGAGGTCCTGGCACTGGCGGTACAGGTTCTGGGGGTGCTGAGTCTGAGGAGACTGACGCTGGAGACCCTGGTTCTGCGGAGTCCACCCCGCCCCCCCACCGCCACGACACGCGTCTCCAGGCTGCCCGTCGGCGTGAGCGTGAGGAGCAGGAGCGGTTGGAGAGGGAGCGGCAGGAGCTGCGGGTGCTGGACCTTCTGGAGCAGCAGCGGCAGCAGCAGCAGCAGCAGCAGCAGCAGCAGCAGCAGCAGCAGCAGCAGCAGCAGCAGCCGCAGCCGCAGCCGCAGCCACAGCCGCAGCAGCAGCAGCAGCAGCCGCAGCCGCAACCGCAGCGGCCGCAGCCGCCACCGCAGCTTCCTCTAGAGCGGCGGTTGTTCCCACCTGTGAGTGGCCTGCGGGCCCTTGGTCTTTCCTCCTCTCCTCCTGTCCGCTCCCAGTCTCCTCCTGTGTTTGTTCCTCCGTTGCCTCCTCCTGACGACCGTCCGGCGGTCTGGTCTTCTCCTCCTCCTCAGTCTCCTCCTCCCTCTGTCCGTCGCGACTTGATCACTCGTTGTCCTCCGCGTGCTCGTCACTCGTCCCCTGTTACTGACCTCCACACTGCCCTCCTTTGTTCGTCTCGTCGTCGTTCTCCTTCTCCTGTGTCCGTTCTCCCGTCTCCTCCTCCGTCCTCTCTACCTGCCCTCCCCACTCCTATCTCTGACTACTACCGCGCTGTTCGTCCTGTTGCCGCTCGTGTCCTCACCACTCTTGTCACCGACCCTCGTTTCCCTCCGTCGTCTGTCTCGGCTCTCACTGCCGCTGTCGCTGAGTTTGCTGCCGCCAGCCGCCTTGACTACGCCACCCGTGTGGTGCCAGCTCCTCCCTACCGTCCTCTGTCCGTCGGGGGTGGGTTTGCCCTTGGCTGTGACGTCCTAGAGGACAGAGAGTCTGAGCTGGAGTACTGGGCAGCCGCTTCTCCCTCTGTGTGTGCCATGCTGCTCTCCCCTGAGGGAGACCCCGACGCCCTTGACATACCGACTCCTCGCACTTACCGCGAGGCAGTGTCAGGGGCGTGGGCCTCTCAGTGGAAAGCGGCTATGGACTCAGAGTTGGCGTCTTGGAGATCCACAGGCACCTACGTTGACGCAGTTCCCCCTCCCAGGGCGAACGTAGTCGATGGCATGTGGCTCTTCAAGGTGAAGCGGCCGCCTGGAGCACCGCCGGTGTTCAAGGCGCGCTACGTGGCTAGGGGTTTCAGTCAGCGTGAGGGAGTTGACTTCTTCCAGACCTTCGCCCCGACCCCGAAGATGACTACTCTTCGGGTGTTACTCCACATAGCAGCGCAGCGAGACTACGAGCTGCACTCCCTCGACTTCTCCACTGCGTTCCTCCAGGGCCGACTGCACGAGGAGATCTGGCTGCGCCGTCCTCCTGGCTTCACTGACACCTTCCCACCTGGGACCCAGTGGAGCCTGAGGCGACCAGTCTACGGTCTCCGCCGGTCGCCCCGTGAGTGGCACGACACTCTTCGCTCCACGCTTCGTGACCTTGGGTTCAGCCCGTCCTCCGCCGACCCGTCGCTGTTTGTTCGAGCGGGTTCTACTCCTTTCTTTATCCTTGTCTACGTCGACGACTTGGTGTTTGCTACAGCAGATAGGGCAGCCCTGGCTCAGGTGAAGTCCGAACTGCAGAAGAGACACAAGTGCACTGACCTGGGTGAGCTGCAGCGCTACCTTGGCCTGCAGATCACCCGGGACAGAGCCGCTCGCACCATCACACTGACGCAGTCACACATGGTGCAGCAGGTCCTTCGGCGGTTCCACTTCCAGTTCTCCACCACACAGCCCACTCCTCTTGCTGTTGACCACAGACTCACGGGCCCCTTTCCTGACGAGCCCTTTGAGTCCAGTGGACCCTACGCAGAGCTGGTGGGCTGCCTCATGTACCTGATGACTTGTACTCGACCGGACCTCGCCTTTCCACTCAGCATCCTTTCTCGCTTTGTTGCGACTGGGAGACACCGCCCTGTCCACTGGACAGCTGCTGTGAGGGTGGCGAAGTACCTGGCGACTACATCAGGCTTGGGGCTTGTGCTTGGAGGGACTCAGCCAGTGGCGTTGACTGGTCACTGCGACTCTTCCTACGCTGACGACGTGGAGACTCAACGTTCGACTCAGGGTTACTGCTTCAGTCTGGGAGCTGGTGCTGTGTCGTGGAGGTCTACACGGTCGTCGTCTGTGGCTACTTCCAGTGCAGAGGCAGAGATCTACGCTGGTGCCATGGCGGCACAGGAGCTTCGCTGGTTGACCTTCTTGCTCGCTGACCTTGGTGAGCGGCCTCGCTCTGCACCGACCTTGTACGCTGACAACAAGGCCATGATCCTCCTGTGTCGAGAGCCTCGACTGGAGAGCAGAGTGAAGCATATTGACGTGAGGTACTTCCTCCTGCGAGAGCTGCAGCGACGCGGTCAGGCACGCCTGGACTTTGTGGCCTCAGAGGCCAACACTGCAGACGTCTTCACCAAGGCCTTGGCGCTTGGTGACCACCACAGGTTCTGTGTGCAGTTGGGGCTTGTTGAGGTAGGCCCTCGGTTGGTGTAGTCCTGTTGCTTGCTCTGCTTGTTGTGCTTTGTATTTATATCCTAGTGAACTCTTGAACTGGCCTTGTGGCCGCTTGCTTGCGCTCGGAATTTGTGTGGTGTCCTTGAGATCCACCCTGAGCTTGCCTTGGTTCTTGCTTTGACTGGTCTTGTGACCGTTTGTTCACCTTGCTTGCTTTGATGCCCCTCACTTAGCCTATGGGGGTGTGTCAAATGTTGAACATTGATATGATAGGCTATAGTGAGTTGCACTCTAGGGGGTACAGCTTCTAGGGTTGCTCATTTGTACCCCATTCGTTTCTATTCCAATCATTCCGTTGTTCGCTAACTTTGAGACAAACAGCCAGGTACAGCCAGGTGATAAGCATCCAGCTGCCAGTACTTGCTGCTCTACTGAATTTCCACACCCTCTTTTCCCAACCTTTCCTCCTCCCCCTCCCCCACTTCACCCTCCTCTCCCTCACCACGGTAGCAAAACAGGCAGGTGACAAGCATCCAGCTGCCAGTACCTGTGCCGCACCCCTGGCCTCCTTTACAGCTGTAGCCTTTATTCCCCCCCACTCCTACCCCTCCTCTCCCTTCTCCCCCTCCTCCCCCTCCTCTGTCTCATCGTGGTAGCAAACAGGCAGGTGGTAAGCATCCAGCTGCCAGTACCTGTGCCGCACCCCCGCCCTCGTACCTATGCCTCACCCCCGCCCAGGCAGGTGGTAGCAAACGGGCAGGTAGTAAGCATCCAGCTGCCAGTACCTGTGCCGCACCCCCGCCCTCCCTTACTGCACTTCCCCACCCTTTATTCCCCCTTCTCCCCTTCCACTTCCTCTGCACGGTAGCAAACGGGCAGGTGATAGGCATCCAGCTGCCAGTACCTATGCCGCACCCCCGCCCACGTACCTATGCCTCCTCCCCCTCCTCTCCCTCCTGTTGTTCCTTCTCCTCCTCCCCCCCCTCCTCTGTCTCATCACGGTAGCAAACGGGCAGGTGATAGGCGTCTAGCTGCCAGTACTTATGCCGCACCCCCGCCCACGTGTCCCCATCCAAGCACCGGCTGACCGGCAGGGGAATGAACTGAGTGGTCAGCCCCACGAGCTGCTGCAGCTCCAACGCTACTATGTGGCAGTAGACGGTGTGGAAGAAGGCGTTGTCGCCACACATGCCGTTGAAGAAGGAATAGAGCCCGCTGGGTTTCAGTAGCTGTGGAAGGTGGGAATGGAACTCTCGGAGATCATCGTAGTATTCTCCATATGTGTCAAAGAAGATGCCTGGAGATGGGAGGGGCGGGGGAGGAAAGGGAGGGGCAAGGGGAGGAAGTAGCAGAGGGAGGAAAAGAGAGGGATGAACTGAGTGGTCAGGCCCACGTGCTGCTGCAGCTCCAACGCTACTATGTGGCAGTAGACCAGACGGTGTGGAAGAAGGCGTTGTCGCCACACATGCCGTTGAAGAACGAGTAGAGCCCGCTGGGCTTGAGGAGGGAAGGGAGGTGGGAGTGGAATTCGCGAAGATTGTCATAGTATTCTCCATACGTGTCAAAGAATATGCCTGCACGGAGGGTAGGGGACACCGAGAGGGGGAGGAAAGCAAGGCCACTCAGCACATGTGGCAGTAGACCAGACGGTGTGGAAGAAGGCATTGTCGCCACACATGCCTGTAGGTAGGGAAAGAGAAGGGAGGGGCATGGAATGGGAGGGGCAAGAAGAAGGCGTTGTTGCCACACATGCCGTTGAAGGAGTAGAGCCCGCTGGGCTTGAGGAGGGAAGGGAGGTGCGAATGGAACTCCCGGAGGTCGTCGTAATATTCTCCGTATGTGTCAAAGAAAATTCCTGAATGGAGAAAAGGGGCAGGGAAAAGGAGGGACAAGAAACGGAAGGGACAAGGAGAAAGAGGGGCAAGAAAAGAGGCGTTGTTGCCGCACATGCCGTTGAAGAATGAGTAGAGGCCGCTGGGCTTAAGGAGGCGCGGGAGGTGCGAGTGGAACTCGCGGAGATCATCGTAATATTCCCCGTAAGTGTCAAAGAATATGCCTGCTTTGACAGAAATGAATGCAGGGAGATGGAGGGAGAGGGAAGGATGGACAAGGAAAGGGAGGGGCAAGAAGAAGCAGAGGGATTGAGAGGCAACACATGTGGCAGTAGACCAGACAGTGTGGAAGAAGGCGTTGTCGCCACACATGCCGTTGAATAAGGAGTAGAGGCCGCTGGGCTTGAGGAGGCGCGGCAGGTGGGAGTGGAATTCACGCAGATCGTCGTAGTATTCTCCATACGTGTCAAAGAATATGCCTGCATGGATGGGAGCCAACGCATAAAGATTCGACCTGGATCCAGCAGGTGACTCATCCTACTCCAACAGGTAACTTGTCCTAATGGCAGAGCTTAGGGAGAGGCACGACAAAACAATGGGAGAAGAAGGCATGGGGTGATGATGTGGCAGCACGTGCTAGCAGCTGTGGTATGAGGCGCCTCCACTCAGAAAATGACTTACCAGCAGCTACAGTCCTGCCATCACCCTTCCACTGTCTCCTGTGGTAAACCACCAGAAGACGGAAGGAACTGCACCAACTACCCCATTTGCAGAAGGTATATTACCAGCTGTACCCAGAATACTCACCGTCGTATTGCCCTAGTTGCGGTAACACGTCTTGCCATCTCCCCTCCACCACCCTCACTCCCTCCTTCTCATGCCACCCCTCCCCCTTCATCCTCGCTATAACGTCCGGATGCGCTTCCACTATAGTGTGCGATCGAATCCCGCCTTCCGATTGGCCGATGCGTGCTGCAATGGCGGTGTCTATTATACCCATGCCAAACCCGATATTGAGAATATCTCCTCCCTGAAGGGTAGAGAGGGAGAAGGAAGGGTTGGGAGTGGTTGGAAAAGGTCGAGAAAGCAGCAGTGACAGTGCAGTGTCTATTAAGCCCATGCAAACCCGTTGGTGGGAATATCGCGTCCCCGAAATGAAGGAAAGCAGGGAGAACGGCAAGAAGAGAGAGAGCAAAAACCCATGCTGATGGTGGGAAGGCGAGAGAGAGAGAACGAATGCCTATGCGAGCAACATGGGTACAACAGGACACATAATACCATACCCACCCACCTATTGCCAAATGGCTTCAACCAGACTCTAGTCCAGCATGTAGTACCACACAACACAACACCGCGCAGCACCGTACAGCACCGTACAGACCGTACAGCACCGCACAGCACCGTACAGACCTGCTGCTATAACACACACAGACCTGCTGCTATAACACACACCTGTTGCAGATGGCTTGGGCGTGTGCTTGCATGAGATGATGAGAGCCCCCCCCCACCGCATCATCACTCCCCCTCCCACCGCTCCGCATCATCACTCCCCCTCCCTCCCCGTCCACCAATCAACCAGTCTCTATTCCAGCACACACACACATGGTATTTTCACAACACAATGCACACAAGACATACAGCACTGTATTGTACCCACCCGTAACCCGTTGGCAGATGGCTTGCGCGTGTGCTTGCATGAGCGCCCCCTCCCACTTCATCATCACACCACCCCCCTCCCCATCCACCAGTCGACCTGTCCCTACCCCAGCCTGTAGAACATACGATCTAAAACACCTGGCACCGCACAGCACCTCACAGCACAGCCCCGTGCCCACCTGTTGGCAGATGGCTTGCGCGTGGGCTTGCATAAGAGCCCCCTCCCACTTCATCATCACTCCCCCTCCCTCCCCGTCCACCAATCGGCTTTCAGACAGCTGCAGTCGCTCCGACAGGTAGGCGGCATTTGAGGCAGGTGCTGACTGCTCCGCTGCTCCTGCTGCTGTGCTGCCACGTGTCAGGTTCCTACTGGCTGCCCCCAGAATGAGCTCTGATTTGATGCCTGTACAAGGGAACAATGCGTGAGAGATGGGGTAAAGGGAGGATAGGCAGGAAAGGGAAGGAAAAGAAAGGAAAGGAAAGGAAAGGAAAGGAAAGGGAAGGAAGGGAAAGGAAGGGAAGAAGAAGGGAAGGCAAGGAGAGGAAAGGAAAGGAAAGGGGAGGAAAGGAAAGGAAAGGGAAGGAAAGAACGGAAAGGAAAGGAACATGGGGGAAGGGGACATGGGGGATAGCTGCAGCCGCTTCAACAGTTAGGCTGCATTTGGGCCAGGTGTCAACAGCTCTGCTACTCCTGCTCCTGTTGCACTTGCTGCTGTGCTGCCACGTGTCAGGTTCCTACTGGCTCTTCGAGAATGAGCTCTGATTTGACGCCTATCTCCCACCCTTGCCCCTTCCCCAATCCCCTTTCCCCACCCCCCCCCATGTTCACACTATGCCAGCCCCCCAGCACCCCAGCAGCACGCACACTGTTTCCAGATCTGAAAGATCTCCCAGCAGCAGAACGAGGTGACTTTTGAGTGCAGAACGATTCGACTCAAAAGTTATCTCCCAGCAGCAGAACCCCCACCATTTCCGCCCTCCCCCCCCCACCCAAGTCACCTCTTCCTCTTCCTCCCCCCGATGCTCACCTCCCCCCGCCATCCCCTGACCCCCTTGATACACAACACAGCCTTATCAGCATCAATCAGTGTATCCAACACCTCTTGTCATCTCGCTTTCGCTTCGTTTTTCTCCTCCTCCTCTTCCGCCCCCTCCCCCCACGCCACCACCCCTTCCATTGCATAGTCCCCTGCGCTCTTCCCCCCCATATCCACCGCATTCCACACCGCCCCCCCCCCCCCAGCAGCGCCCACACCACCTCCGCCCTCTCCCCTCCCCAGCCTCCAATAAGCCACTAAGGACTTACCAGCATCAATCAGTGTATCTAGCACTTCTTGTCGTCTCGTTCTTTCCTCTTCGTTTTTCTCCTCCTCCCCCTCCGCCCCCTCCCCCCACGCCACCACCCCTTCCATTGCATAGTCCCCTGCGCTCTTCCCCCCCATATCCACCGCATTCCACACCGCCCCTTCCCCCAGTAGCGCCCGCACCACGTCCGCCCTCCCCCCTTCCGCCGCCGCCATCAGGGCTGTCTTCCCCTGCGCGTCCACGTCAGCATACGCCACGTCAGCGCCTTCTCTGGGGGTTTGAGAAGACGGGTTTTGGGTGGGGGGGGGGAAGGGACGTGTGGGAAGAGAGGGCGGGAAGAGGAATGACGAAGAAGGAGGGCATGGAGGGAGGGGGGAAAATGAGGGGGTAAAAGGGGGCATAGGGGAGAAATGGGGCCGGGGGAAGCGGGAATGGGGAGATAGGGGGAGGGTGAGAAGGGAGGGAGGGGGGGAGGCGGGAGGGGAGGCGGAGTGGGGGTGGTTTGTGGAGGAAGGTGGGGAAGAGGAGGGGAGACGTTAAGGGAAAGCGGGAGAGGATTGAAAGTGCTGAGTATGAGAGGATTGAGGAGGAGTGCTCTATACCGGCGCTAGTTATGACAGGGTTGAGGGTTTCAGGTTGAAGGTTTCGCTTATTTCATCGCGGTCGAACGGCGCAGCGAGCATACAAGCCCAGCGATCACGGATTTGAATCGCGGTTGTGCCGCCCAGACAGCAATTTCCCTAGTTACTGTACGAGGAAACCATTAGACGGGCCTCACTTGATGAGTCGCAGTACTGTAGTTAAATCGCCCTCGCGCGACGCTTCTATCAGCTGCCGATTCTTTGCCACGTCAGCCTCGGAGGTCTCTGCGTCAGCCATTGGCTGGCGATTCCTCGCCCCGTCAGCTTCGAGGTACCCGCGTCAGGCAAAGATGAGCGGCTAGTCGGTCGGAGCCAGGCTGACGGTGGAAGATGTCAGTGAGTTGAAATAAACTAGCGATTGATCGCCTCTGACAAACAGCTTTCTATCGCATAAAACCGCAATAATGAAATTTGCCCGGCCCGTGTCGCTGGTAGATTCCGGGCACGATGTACGCGTCTGGTAGATTCTGATACATGTAGTGGTATTGACACGTACGGTGATAAATCAAACCTTGCTCGTTATTTCCAAAAGACAGGTGCTATATGGTAATACAAGTAATTAGCAACACGATGATGAGTTTTTGCCATGTCTTGATTTATTTTCTCCATCAGTTCAATAAGTGCTCAAAATCAAACTTGCTGTACTAACAAAGACCGCAGATTAAATATACTAGTGATACGGAATACTCCAGTGCTTACACCTTGGGGTAAAGTACAGTATCGGAGTAAAACGTGTCGAAGCCTGGTGACTGGAAACTCTGAACACTTCCGGCCTGGCAGGCTAGAACCCCAGCAGACTTGTCATTCCAGATAGCCTCATCATTAGCACTCTAAGCTGCCAGGCTTTTTGCATAGCCTAGAGATCCTACTGAGCCTCTAGTGTGTCGCTGCGTGTATCCACTACCCCTTCCTGGTTTATTCCCCTGCCGTCATTTTACGACGTATTTACTCTTAGTAGGAATCAGGGTTTCTCGAGGGTTTGTCGCAATTTGTCGTTTTGTATGAGTGGGCGGATGCTGGTTTACTTTCGCGGGTTAAGTATGCAAGGGCGAGACTGCGTTTCTCGCGATTGAGAGACTAATATCGACTAGATTGGTTATTCGTTATCGAGGTGTTTTGAGCGACTGCTTTGGTGACTCGTTATAGAGCGGAGCATGGGTGCCATCGCTCGGATCGAGCCGGGAGGGACAACAAAACGGCGAGTCGCGGAAGACAGCCAATGTCAGTGCGCGCCGATTTGAACGTCAGCATTATCTCTCCTCTAAATACTGTTGTTTCTATTCCCCTCGTCTTATTCAGCCGCCCGGCTTCCCCTTTCTCCTCCCTTTCTTGTTCCCGTCCTTTTCCTCGTCCCTTTCCCCGCCCATTTTTCTCTGAAATCCTTTCTTCAGTCTTCGATCATCTCGTGGACCTCATACCGCTGCGCCACTACCTCCCGTCGCAAGCTGACTCTGTCGCCCTGGTACGCGTTATAAGCTGTTTCTGTCGCCCTGATACGCGTTATAAGAAGAATTTGTCGCGCTAACGCGTTACAAAGCTTACTCTGTCGCTTCCGTAGGCGCTATAAGCTGACTCTGTTGCACTGACTCTGTTATGGGAACGTCCCAATCTCCACGGTACTTGAATATTATGCGCTGATGTCACTTTCGCACTTATATGGCGTGCTAGTTACCAAGCTACCCGAGCAAGCATTGCGTTTAACCTTTTCTTTTCCGATTGTTCCTTACCGTGTCCACTCCTTACCGAGTACAGAAGTATGAGAAGGTGGAGGGCGGCAAGGCAGAGGCGAAACGGGCAGCTAAGGAGCAGTCGAAGAAAGCAAAGAGGCTCAAGGTGAGACGACGAGAGTTGAGATCATTTGAGTCGAGGCGATGAAAATTCGAAGGAGAGCGAAGGGAGCTGAGGGGAGATGAAGTGATTTGATGTGAGGAAAATGCTTAGTTAAACATCTCCCTGGTTCTTCCCCTGCTTCCGCCCAGCTTCTACTCCTCCTAGTCCCTTCTCTCTTAGCCGAATCTTGGCTAGAAGGTGAAGCATCCGCATGCAGAGGCAATGGACCATGGACTGCTCAACCTTAAACCCTAAACCTCCAACCCGAAACCTCGATCCTTCAACTCACATCGTGTTCGTCTTGCATGTTCCACCCCCTTGCCTTCAGCTCACCCTCACACTCGCAGCTCCGCCGTCCCCGCATTTCCTCTCCCCCTCTCCCGCTTCTTCCCCTTTCCTTCCTGCCTCCCCCCCTTCCCCCCGCTTCTCTCCCTCCTCCGTAGTTGGGCCCTGCAGCAACGCAGCTCACTCCTTGGGCGCTGCAGGCTAATCCAGGCGCTTCAAACTCCGCTTTGTCCTCCTTCCCCTCCCCCTACCCACTCCCCCTTTTCTCTCCTCTTCCCCCCTCCCCCAGTTGGACCCCGCAGCAGCGCAGCGCACCTCCCAACCTCCCAGGCGTGGAGGCGAAGTTCACCCCCTCTGGCTTGCTAGCAAGCAAGATTAACACCCCCCCCACTCTTTCCCCCCCCCCTCTCCCCTCCCTCTCTCTCCCCCCCCCCCCCCCCCCCCCAGCTGGACCCAGCAGCAGCGCAGCGCACCTCCCAGGCGCTGCAGGCGCGGCAGCAGCAGCAGGAGCAGGGGGGAGGGCGCGGGTTGGCGGGCGGATTCGGGGGAGGTGGTTTCGGGTCAGGGGGAGGGGGAGCCGGAGGGGATGGGAAGAAGAGCGGGAAGGGGGAGATGGACGATCCGATGGATCAACTGTTGAAAGAAGCAGGTGAGAGAGCGGTGATGCGTGGTGGGAGGTGGTGGGGAGTGATGATGCAAGGTGGTGGGTGGTGCTGGCTGCCAGTGCTGGTGGATTTGAAGTTAGGGGGGGGGAGGGAAGAAAGGGGGGAAGGGAGGAAGGGCGGGAAGGGGGAGATGGACGATCCGATGGATCAACTGTTGAAGGAAGCAGGTGAGAGAGCGGTGCTGAGTGGTGGGAGGCAGTGGGGGAGGGAGGGGAGTGGTGCAAGGGTGGGTGTTGGTGCTTCTAGTGCTGGTCGATTTGAATCGGGGTGAAGGGGAAGGGAAGAAGGGCGGGAAAGAGGAGATGGACCAGCTGTTGAAGGAAGCAGGTGAGAGAGCGATGATTCGCGGTGGGAGGTGGTGGGGAGGAGAGGGGAGTGGTGCAAGGTGAGAGTGGTGGTGAGTGGTGCAAGGTGGTGGTTTTCTGGTTCACCCGTTTCCCTGTCTCCCTGTGCCTTTGCCCTTTTTCCCTGTCAGGAGTGGGGAGGAAGGGGCGAGCAGCGGACTACCAGGAGCTGAGAGCGCGGCTGCAGCAGCGTGGAGTGGAGGTGTCCTTAATATTTCCATTGCCTCTTTCAATCTTTCCATCGCCTCTTTCCCTGTCCCCCTGTTCCCTTGTGCTTGCCAGGAGTGGGCAGGAAGGGGCGAGCAGCAGACTATCAGGAGCTGAGAGCGCGGCTGCAGCAGCGACTGGAGGAGCTGAGGAAGCGGAGGAACGCGGAGAGAGCCTCTGCTGCTAGCGAGTGGCGGAAGAAACAGAGGGAGACGGGCGCTGAGGGGGACAAGAAGGGGAAGAAGGGGGGGAAGGAGCGGAAGAAGGGGAAAGGAGGCGTCGGGGGTGGGGGTGAGAGGGAGGGTGCGGTGGTGGGTGGTAAACGGAAGCAGCAGGAGAGGGAAGGGGATGGGGGGAAGGAGGGGAAGAAGGAGCGGATTGGGAAGGAGAAGGGTGGAGGGAAGGGAGGAAGAGGAGGGCTAGTGGGAGCAGCAGCAGCAGGAGGAGGAGGAGGAGGAGGAGGGGGAGGAGGGGGAGGAGGGGAGGGGCATGGGTTAGCAGATGTTGAGGTGATTCCTTTGGATCTGGAGTTTGGGCGGGTGAAGCTGGGGGATAAGGCAGCAGCAGGGCCGGGGATGGGAGGCGGGAAGAAGGGGAAGAAGGACGGCGGGAAGGTATCTGCCAAGAAGCTTCTGGAGCAAGCGGCTAAGATTCAGGAGAAGCTCAAGGGGCGGAAGCTGGGAGATAAGGCCTTGGCTGAAGTGGTGAGTTGGTGACTGTGAGGTGAGCGGGAATCGGGGGGGACTGTGGGAGGGCGCGTGGGGTGTGCATGGAGCAAGCGGCTAAGATTCGGGAGAAGCTCAAGGGGCGGAAACTGGGAGACAAGGCACTGGCTGAAGTGGTGAGTTGGTGTGTGGAGGAGCACGTGGGTTTGAGAGCAGGTGACTGGGAGAGCATGAGTGTGAATGCAAGCTCAAGGGGCGGAAACTGGGAGACAAGGCCTTGGCTGAAGTGGTGAGTTGGTGTGAGAGATTGCAAGAATGGGAGAACAAGCTGCTTAGACCGGGAAGAAGGTCAAGGGGCAAAATCCGACAAATAAAGCTTTGGAAGAACTCCCTTTCCCTTCCATACCCATAGTGGAAGACCCGCGTGGTGGAAGACCCTCCTATATTGGTGGAAGATCCTCTTGGTGGAAGACCCTCCTTGTTACCTCACTCTCCTCCTCCTTCGCCTTCCCTTCCCTCATCTTCCCCCAAACGAGCCACTCGAGCAAAGATTGATGCTTGTAGACATGCTTGTCAACTATTGTTGTTTTTGAGAATTCTCAAAAATACCCTGCAACGAGCAAAGGTTGATGCTTGTGTACATTCTCTTTTCCTTCCACCTTCATGCCAATCGTGCTTTTTAACTGGCCCTCCTTGTTTTTTGAGAATTCTCAAAAAACACGTTCATGCCAATCGTGCTTTTTAACAGGCCCTCCTTCCCTCGCGTGTGCTCCTTTGCCTTCCCTCGCGTGTGCTCCTTTGCCTTCCCTCGCGTGTGCTCCTTTGCCTTCCCTCGCGTGTGCTCCTTTGCCTTCCCTCGCGTGTGCTCCTTTGCCTTCCCTCGCGTGTGCTCCTTTGCCTTCCCTTCTCTCTTGCCACCCCCGTTCCCCAGGAGACCCACCTGTGGAATGCGGCGAGCAGCAGGGCGGCGTGAGGAAAGGTGTTTGGCGATCCAAACATGTCTGTTCTAGTTCTGACCCCCCACCTCTTCTATGCCCACCTGAACCCCATGCTTCCATCTGTCTGACCCATGCCTGTATCGCCTCTCTCTCCTTTTCCAGGAGACCCACCTGTGGAACGCGGCGAGCAGCAGGGCGGCAGGCGGAAAGGTGTTTGACGATCCAAACATGCTCAGCAAGCAGCAGAAGAGGGAGCAGCGGCAGAAGGAGAAGAGCGCCAAGCTATGGTGAGCGGTGGAGTGCGGTGGTGTGTGTTGGGGTGCGTTGTCATGAGGTGGTGTGATGTGAGGGGTGGTGCGGGGTGTGGCAGATGGCACATGGCAGATGGCACATGGCACATGGCAGATGGCACATGGCACATGGCACATAACACATGGCATGGTACATGGCACATGGCAGTGCGCAAGGTGATGAAGGACTGGCAGGAAAAGCGCCGGGGGAGCATGGAAGGGACGTTACTGCATGGCTTGTGCTGCACTAATTGCAGCCCGAAAATGCACTAACTGCGTTTACATATTTCTATGTTAACAGGAAGGAGAGGCAGATGGCAGTGCGTAAAGCAATGAAGGAGAGACAGGACAAGCGCAAGGGGAGGGGAACATGGATGGCAGGCACCTCATTGCATGACTTGTGCTGCACTCACTGCAAACCCGAACATGCTGTCTTATCCCTGCGTGTTTACAGGAAGGAGAGGCAGATGGCAGTGCGTAAAGCAATGAAGGACAGACAGGACAAGCGCAAGGGGAACATTCAGGAGCGAAAGGACAACAAGATCGCTGCTAAGATCGCTCGGGTAGGTGGTGTGAAGTTGAGGGGAGTATAGTGGGTTAGAGTGGTATCAGTAACACAGCATGCAGCATGGGATGAGAAGGGTACAGGGGACCATCGAGGAGTGGGAGGACAACAAGGTTGCTGCTAAGGTCGCACGGGTAGGTGGAATGGAGGGAGGGAAGTATAGTGGATGAACGGGTAGGTAGTGGATGGACTTATTGGTTGGTGCGGTAGCAGCAAGCACAGCAGGATGCAGCACAGCCCGGCATTGTGTGGCAAGGTTTTCTACAGCATGGCATGTTCTGTTGTTGCATGCATTCGCTACATATGCTTATGTTTTTCATGGTGTTTGAAACGCACTTGTTTTTGTATCTGCAATTGAGTGCAGAGGGAGAAGAAGCTGATGCGGCCGGGCTTTGAAGGGCGGGCAGGGGGCACAGCGTTGAATGCTCAAGCAGCAGCACCCACACCATAAGACCACTTGAAGACATTTTTCCTTGCCGTTTCTAGAAACAACCCCTGGGCTTTGAAGGGCGGGCAGGGGGCACAGCGCTGAATGCTAAAGCAGCAGCAGCTACACCATGAGGGTGTTAGCACAGAACTTGAAGAAAGATTTCCTTGGTGTTCTCAGAAACACACTTGGGGTTTTCAGGCCAGGCAGGGGATACAGTCACACGGGTCGTGAATGCCTGCCAAGGCGGCAGCTGCGGCTGCACCGTTGGTCAGTGTAACACTGCTGCTGGGAAAAATGTTTCTATTTGGCATTATTGAAATCATTGACTGCACTGTGAAGGCAGCAGTGCACTATGTGGCAGTGTGCATAGCAGGGCTTTTTTTTGGATTTCCACTACTCGGATTTCCAGAGCTGTTTTCTAGGGAACTCTGAAATTTAGGGTTAATTATGAGCGTTACTCTGATTTGTCAGAGAATACTTAACTTCTGAAAATATGCTCTGGGCAGTCAGAGTGACTATTTTATCAATTCTGAGTGTCCTCTCAAGTATTGAACCCAGGCCTTCTGCACTCGTACCAGAACTGTAATCGTTGCGCTACGGGCTTACAAATCTAGTGGCTGACGGACTTAACTCTATCTTGTCGGTTTAACCATCTTCCACCAATTGGGAAGGGGCTCGGTCGAAATGCCTATACCCTGTACAGAGAAAAATACCTTCGCCACAAATATACACTGGTCTCTCAGAGTAGCTAAAATCAGAACCCTGACAAATCAGAGAAAACTTATCTTCCAAAAAAAATACCCAGACACGTCAGAGTGACCCCCTAAAAACCACTCTGATTTTCAGAGAAACAGAGTAATTTACTCTGATAAAAAAAATCCCTGGTGCATAGTTGCGAAACACACATGCTTTCGCGCTGTTGGAATGTGGCATGTGCGAGTGTGGATCGTTATCAGTAACATACTGAGTTTCATAAACCTGAAACATAATGACCTTTGCAGAAGTAGTCCGTCTCGTTCATCCACTCAGGGAGTGCCTTGAGGCGACTCCAGCCAGTCATCATCACCATTTTAGAGTAACCATAACCTTAACGCACCATGGTAAAAGATGGATTCTATGTAGTAACAGAGCGGAGCGGCTTCTAGTAACGGAACGACTTTCTAGGGCGGAGGCGGTCGCGCTCATTCATCCAATCAGAGAGCGCCTTGAGGCCCACCCCAGCCGCAATCAGCAGCAGCAGGAGTAGGCAAAGGAGAGTGATGATGACGGCCCAGCGCCGCACAGCAGGAGGAATGAACCCCTGGTGATGGGCGATCGAAGGGGGTGGGGAAGGGGGGGGAGAAGGGTTGGGATAGGGGGGTGAGGGCCCAGCGCCGCACAGCAGGAGGAATGAACCCCTGGTGATGGGCGATCGAAGGGGGTGGGGAAGGGGGGGAGAAGGGCTGGGATAGGGGGGTGAGGGCCCAGCGCCGCACAGCAGGAGGAATGAACCCCTGGTGATGGGCGATCGAAGGGGGTGGGGAAGGGGGGGAGAAGGGTTGGGATGAGGGGGTGAGGGCCCAGCGCCGCACAGCAGGAGGAATGAACCCCTGGTGATGGGCGATCGAAGGGGGTGGGCGGAGGGTTGGATGGGATGGGATGCGCTTTTGAGTCGACTCAAAAGCAGCGCCGCACAGCAGGAGGAATGAACCCCTGGTGATGGGCGGTCAAAGGGGGTGGGCGGAGGGTTGGTTGGGATGGGATGCGTGAGAGAAGAGGGAGTGAGTGAGAGAAGCGAAAGGGGGTGAGTGAGAGAAGCGAAAGGGGGTGAGTGAGAGAAGCGAAAGGGGGTGAGTGAGAGAAGCGAAAGGGGGTGAGTGAGAGAAGCGAAAGGGGGTGAGTGAAAGTGGTGCCTTGAGGCCCACCCCAGCAGCAAGCAGCAGCAGGAGGGGAGGCGATGATGGCGCAGCGCCGCACCTTGTGAGGATGAAACAGCCATGCGATTCACGTGTATGAAGAAGTGTTTTGAGACGTCTCAAAACACTTCTTCATACACGCAGCCTGATTGTGCCATGCGATTCTGTATAAAAGTCTAAAGTAATTAGATAAAGGGCGTGCTTACAAGCAGAGAGGAAGAGGAATCATCTTCCTCGGCTGCTGTCTTCCTTCTTCTCCTTCTTGCTCCCCTCTGCTCATGCCATGTTGTCCCATGACATGCCATACCATGCCATGACATGACATGACATGACATGACATGCCATACCATTCCATATGTCAGTGAAAGGGGTGAAAAAATGATGACATTGCCAAAAATTGCAAGGGAAAGAAGTTAGAAACAGTCTAGAAGTGGCATGGAGCGCAAAAAAACTGGCAAAAGTCACAGCAGCTTCTGCTACAGATTCGGTTTCAAGACTAAGGCAGCTTCTGCAGCAAATTAGGCTGTGAGGCCTTGACACACGAAAGCACTCACTTGCTATAAGCGCTCTCCGTGTAGAAAATGTATCGTGTGCACTCACTTGTAACGAGGTGACTTTTAAGTCGACTCAAAAATTAGGTTGTGAGGCCTTGACACACGAAAGCACTCACTTGCTGCTCCAGCCACTTACAGCAGCATCTGCTTCAGGTCGAATCCTCCCAGCCCTCTGCTACTGCGGCTGCTACTAGCAGTGCCACCTTTATACTATCAATGCAAAAGTCAAACACACAAGACAAGATTATCAACACTCACAGCTGCTTCTGCTTCGAGTCGAAGCCTCTCAGCCTCTGCTGCTGCGGCTGCCTTCCTCTCTGCCTCTCTTTTCTCCTCCGCCTCCCGCCTCTTCCTCTCCTCCTCCTGAATGCGCCGGCACTCGTCGTCACATGGTATCAGCCCTACCCCCACCATTGACTCCCGCAGTCTCCCACCACCACCGCCCCCGCCACTGCTGCTGGCATTGGTGCTGCAGTCTATGCTGCTGGAGGGGTTGCTTGCACCGTTGGCAGCGGCCTTGGCAGTGGCGGATTGCACTTGGGAGCACAGCCACTCTTTCTTGAGGCGCAGGCATGCACAGCGCACCGTGACCTGTGGAATGTGGGAAGTGGGTGGGAAGAAGGCAAGGGAAACATATGATGGAGACAAAGAGCAGCACACAGACATTTGGTTGGTTGCAGCTTTGGCAGTTTCGGATTGCACTTGGGAGCACAGCCACTCTTTCTTGAGTCGCAGGCATGCACAGCGCACGGTGACCTGTGGAATGTGGGGCAAACGGGTAGAGATGGAAGGGGAGGGGCGGCATAGAACAAAGGTCCAGTGGTGGGGTTGCTGGCACCGTTGGCAGCAGCTTTGGCAGTGCCGGTTTGCACTTGGGAGCAGAGCCACTCTTTCTTGAGTCGCAGGCATGCACAGCGCACGGTGACCTGTGGAAAGTATAAGTGGACACATGCATGAGGCTATGTTGGCATATACGCGATTTGTGTATTATACGCCAGTGCGTAATACACTGGCGTAAATAAGAGATAATCAGGGGGTCCATTCAGTGGGCCAGGATGAGCAAAAAAAGAAGCACAGGTGCAACAATTGTGCACACGTGGACCCATGCACACATGCACCCATGCACGCTTGCACACATGCACCCATGCACGCATGCACACATGCACACATGCACCCATGCACCCATGCACCCATGCACCCATGCACACATGCACCCATGCACCCACGCATACATGCACCCATGCACCCATGCACCCATGCACCCATGCACACGTGCACCCATGCACCCATGCACACATGCACACATGCACCCATGCACCCATGCACCCATGCACACATGCACCCATGCACCCACGCATACATGCACCCATGCACCCATGCACCCATGCACCCATGCACACGTGCACCCATGCACCCATGCACACATGCACACATGCACCCATGCACCCATGCACACATGCACCCATGCACCCACGCATACATGCACCCATGCACCCATGCACGCTTGCACACACGCACACATGCTCCCATGCACCCATGACACAAATGCACACAGACATATGGATGCACAATTTCACACATGCACCCATGCACAAGTGCACACATGCACATAATGCAGACATCAACAACACACAAGTGCACCAAACAAGCACGGACACGCACAGCCCACTCTCTTGCGGAACTGCGTTGGCTTGGTTGGGGCATGGGCAGGGCTGGCACATCACAATCCGTAGCACTTTTGAGGCGCCTCAAAACATGAGACGACTTTTGAGGCGCCTCAAAACATGAGACGACTTTTGAGGCGCCTCAAAACATGAGACGACTTTTGAGGCGCCTCAAAACATGAGACGACTTTTGAGGCGCCTCAAAACATGAGACGACTTTTGAGGCGCCTCAAAACATGAGACGACTTTTGAGGCGCCTCAAAACATGAGACGACTTCTGAGGCGCCTCAAGAACTGCGTTGGCTTGGGGCATGGGCCGGGCTGGCACATCACAATCAGTAGCACCAACACCTACAAGCACGCTTACATGCAATGCAAGCACGGACACGCACAGCCCACCTTCTTGCGGCATTGCGTTGGCTTGGGACGGGAGCTAGGATAGACACATTTCCACACACATGTGCGAACAGAAGCACTCACACATGCACACATCCAATAATGCCCGTATGCACACACTTGCACACGCGCAAGCATGCACACACCCACACCCCACCCTCTTGCGGCACTGCGTGGGCTTGGGCTTGGGGCAGGGGCCAGGGTGAGAGCAGCAAGAGAAGCAGAGATGCACACATGTGCTGACATACGCGTGAACGCACGCACACACGTATGCACGCACACCCCACCTTCATGCGGCACTGCGTTGGCTTGGGGCAGGGGCCGGGATGACTCGTTTCCACACACATGTGCAAACAGAAGCACTCACACAAGCACACACATGCACACACACATGCACACACACAGCCCACCTTCTTGCGGCACTGAGTTGGCTTGGGGCAGGGGCCAGGGTGACACATTTCCACACACATGTGCGAACAGAACGGCAGCTTCCTGGAAGGTGCAGGGTGAAAGACGAGAGCACAGAGAGTTCAGAAAGGAGGGGATGTCACAGACAGAGTTCGTTACTATGGAGGAGTGTCAATCTCAGAGTAAAGGGGCGGTCGATATTTGTCTCACCCACCTCAACCTGGCAATGAAACACTCACTTGTGGCAGCTCCGCTACTCACTTGCGGCAGCTCCGCTACTCACTTGCGGCAGCTCCGCTACTCACTTGCGGCAGCTCCGTTATACCCATTTGTGCCAGCTCTTGTACTCAATTGTGGCAGGGCCCAGTGCCAGACAGCACCTTGACTCTCTCTGCCTCCATCATTGGTTGTCGCTATCCCAAAACCTTGAATAAATGCTTGCAAAACCCTTAAAACTCACTTGTGACAGCCCCGTTATACTCACTTGTGGCAGGGCCCCGTGCAGGAAACCATCTTGACTCTCTCCGCCTCCGTGGCAGCGCCCCATTGGCCACACTCGATCGCATGGGTCATGATGCCACAGTAGCACCGTTTCCTCAAAGGGTTTTTGCACGGCGGGCAGCTGCCCGGATGGCACGGCTCCGGGCAGGGATGCGCGCATGGAGGGTCCCTGGGCTGCCCAGGGAAAGAAAAAGAGGGATAGTTGATGAGAGAAGATGGGATATAACAGGGCTGTTTGTGTGTGAAATTCCACAAGAACCTTGAGAGACGTTGACACATTGTGTGTTCCCTTGAACGCGGCATCCTACATCTGTAGAATTGAGTTGACACCATGAAGTCTCGAGTACGTACCTCACCTTCTGGACTGCATCCTTGCAACGGAAGAAAGCGAGACCAACCTTGAGAAGCGCCATAGAGAAGCATCCTGTACTGAAGAAGAAGAGGAGGATTTGGTGGAAGTCAGAGCCGAAGCTAGGGGAGATCCTGGGGCTGTTGTTTAAGACAATCCACACACTGCTTGCTGCAGCTGTCATGCATTGAGGCTCTCCTTGCGTTTTCAAGAACCCCTCTGAGGCTTCAGCGTCAGAACGGAGAGAAAGAAGAGCCTCAACACGTGGTAGCTGCAGCAAGCGGTGTGTGGATTGTCTGCTTTTGAGTCGACTCAAAAGCAGACTCAACACGTGGTAGCTGCAGCAAGCGGTGTGTGGATTGTCTGCTTTTGAGTCGACTCAAAAGCAGACTCAACACGTGGTAGCTGCAGCAAGCGGTGTGTGGATTGTCTGCTTTTGAGTCGACTCAAAAGCAGACTCAACACGTGGTAGCTGCAGCAAGCGGTGTGTGGATTGTCTGCTTTTGAGTCGACTCAAAAGTGGATTGTCTTGAACAACAGCCCCAGGATCCCCCCTAGCTTTGGCTCTGGGTTGACTTCCACCCAATCCTACTCGTCCTGTTTTAGCACAGGCTGAATATGCTTCTCTATGGCGATGAATACCTCCCGTACGTAGGTTTGGAAGGGAGGATAGTGCAAGGGACCAACCTTCTGACATGGTCGCTTGCAAGGGTAGCATGTGTCACGAGGCAATCTCCTCCCCTCCTCCCCTCCCTCCTCCACCTCCCTCACTCCCCCCTCCTCCTCTCCCTCCCCTGCCACCAACACTCTCTGTCCATCTACGGTTCGCGAGCGGGTGATGACGTGGCATGCCAGCTGGCATGCATGGTTACCGCATGCAAGGGGGTTACCGCAGGGTAGCTCGCACGAGAAGGCAGGGTCGTGTGAGCAGGGGAGCTGGGTGTGGGTGGGGGGTAGAGGGGAGAGGGGAGGGAGCGGGAGGGAAAAGGACCAAAGGGAGTATTAGAAACGCTATTGCATGCAGCTACTTTTGAAATTTTCTCAAAAGGGCCGACAGGAGTATCAGAAAAGCTATTGCATGTAGTCACTGCGTGCCAAGGGGCCACCACATGACCAGGGGATAACCCCATGGTAGCTCGCATGAAAAAGCAAGGTCGTTGTGAGAGCGGGGGAGCTGGGACGGGTGGGGAAGGGGAAAGGGCAAAAGGAAGAGTGTGAAACGTTACTACTGTGCTGTTACATAGTAGATACACACAGGCAGAGCAAGAGGGTTACCACATGACAGAGAGATGTTGCTGTATGGTTACCACATGCGAAGGGGTACTTGCATGGTGGCTTGCATAAGAAGGCAGGGTCGTGAGAGTAAGAGGCATGGCTATCCCTGCTTCCGCTACCCCTCCTCTCCCTGTTCCTCTGCTTCTCCACTCCACCTCTTTAGGCCCCCGCACCGCACCACACACCCCTAGATGCATCTACCTCGCTCGCTGTCCTGCCCCTCCGCATTCTCGCACTACCGGCACCATATACGCGGGGCACGGCGATCCTGCCTTCCCCTGCTTTCCCTGCTATCACCGCCCTATAGGCACACACTTACCTCACATTCCTGCCCCTGGTGCCTTCCTCCACATTCTCGCACTACCGGCACCACACACCGGGGACAACACGACCCCGGCTTCCCCTGCCCCTCCTCATCCACCCTGCTACCCCTTCTACCAAACTCACAAACCCTTCCAGGCACCCATAGCACACACACCCAGGGGTATCACCTCACATTCCTGCCCTCCATGCCGCCCTCTGCATTCATGCACCACCGGCACCACACACTGGGGGCACGGCGATCCTGGCTTCCTTTCCCTGCTACCCCTCATTCCACTCCTTCCTGACTAGAGGTAGCCTCTTGCGGAGTAATGAAGGGTTCGAAACGCAGCAAGCCGTGTGGTCGCCTTTTAAAACTTTCAGCTAAGTATGGGTGGGTTGTTTCGTAGGACTAGGAAAAAGGCATGAATGAGGACTTGATAAGTCTCAAAGTAAAAGTACTAAGTAGGCGTACGCGTTTCGGCCTGTGAGGCCTTCATCAGCGCCAGTTAGGATTACAAACAAGACCCTTCTAGTCCCTTTTCTACCATTTTTTCCCGTTATCCTCTCAACCCCCCAAGTTCCCTAGGTCTAACCACTACCCAGGCGAAATCTGCCCGAACCACACAAGGCTGCCAACTTGGATCAGCATGGGACTACTCGAGAAATTCCCGAAGGCCAAAGGGAACTTCACCGCAAAACAGTAGGTGAGTCCGCTGTAGTGGGATTCGCTGTAGAAAAGTGAGCCCTAACCAAACGTTTTGTAACCGTGTAGGTAACTTCCAACACACCAGAACCGGAGGGATTTGTAGGCCAGCTATATTGGAGTGACTTTTGAGAATTCTCAAAAAACCACCGGCACCACACACTGGGGGCACGGCGATCCTGGCTTCCTTTCCCTGCTACCCCTCATTCCACTCCTTCCTGACTAGACTCGAGGCAGGCACTTACCTCACATTCCTGCCCCTGGTATCTTCCAATGCACTCCCGCACCACCAGCACCACACATGCAGGGTACGGGGACCGCCGGCTTCCCCTGCTACCTACCCCACTTGTACCTTTCCAGGCACCCACACCACACAACCCCAGGGGCCTTAGATCGCACTCCTGCCCCTGGTGTCTTCCTCTGCACTCCCGCACCACCGGCACCACACACGCGGGGCACGGCGACCCAGGCTTTCCCTGCCCCTCCTCTGGTTCATCTGCTTCCCCACTCTCCCTTCCCAGTGGAGACTTACCTCGCACTCCTGCCCCTGGTGTCTCCCTCTGCATTCGCGCACCACCGGACCACACATGGCGGGCACGGCGACCCTGGCTTTCCCTTCTACCCCACTAGAGACACCTACCTCGCACTCCTGCCCCTGGTGTCTTCCTCTGCATTCGCGCACCACCGGCACCACACATGCAGGGCACGGCGACCCTGGCTTTCCCTGCCGCTCCTCTCTACGCTCCCACACCCCTAGAGGCTAGAAGCACCTACCTCACACTCTTGACCCTCATGCCGCCCTCTGCACTCGCGCACCACCGGCACCACACATGGGGGGCACGGCGACCCTGGCTTCCCCTGCCCCTCCTCCTCCTCGCCCTCCTTCTTCCCTTTCTTCTTCTTCTTGGGTGGTTCAAGGGAGAAAGGAGGGTTGGGAGGCGGGCGGGGGCCGTGGCACCTGGCGGTAGGAAGGGGAGTGAAGATCAGTGGTAAGAATATGAGCATTATATTGTCCTCCTCCTCCTCGCCCTCCGTCTTTCATTTCTTCTTCTTGGGTGGTTCAAGGGAGAATGGCGGGTTGGGAGGCGGGCGGGGACCGTGGCACCTGGTGGGGAGGAAAGGAAGGGGAAGGAAGGGGAAGGCGGGGGAAGGAAGGGGAGGGAAAGGGAGGGGAAGAGGGGGGAAAGGGAGGGGAAGAGGGGGGAAAGGGAGGGGAAGAGGGGGGAAAGGAGGGAGAGGGGAAGAGGGGGGAAAGGGAGGGGAAGAGGGGGGAAAGGGAGGGGAAGAGGGGGGAAAGGGAGGGGAAGAGGGGGGAAAGGGAGGGGAAGAGGGGGGAAAGGGAGGGGAAGAGGGGGGAAAGGGAGGGGAAGAGGGGGGAAAGGGAGGGGAAGAGGGGGGAAAGGGAGGGGAAGAGGGGGGAAAGGGAGGGGAAGAGGAAAGATCAGTGAGAAGGATCACTCCTCTCTCTGCTTTTGAGTTGACTCAAAAGCGCCTCGTCCAGGGTTAGGCCTCTGGTGACTTCTTTTGAGTCGACTCAAAAGCGCCTCGTCCAGGGTTAGGCCTCTGGTGACTTCTTTTGAGTCGACTCAAAAGCGCCTCGTCCAGGGTTAGGCCTCTGGTGACTTCTTTTGAGTCGACTCAAAAGCGCCTCGTCCAGGGTTAGGCCTCTGGTGACTTCTTTTGAGTCGACTCAAAAGCGCCTCGTCCAGGGTTAGGCCTCTGGTGACTTCTTTTGAGTCGACTCAAAAGCGCCTCGTCCAGGGTTAGGCCTCTGGTGACTTCTTTTGAGTCGACTCAAAAGCGCCTCGTCCAGGGTTAGGCCTCTGGTGACTTCTTTTGAGTCGACTCAAAAGCGGATCAGTGAGAAGGATCACTCCTCTCTCTCGATGCATCGAATCGAATCATCCTCCTCCTTAACCTTCTTCTTCCCTTTCTTCTTCTTTCTAGAAGGCTCACTGGAGCGACGGGCCGGCTGGGAGGCGGGGGGGTGTGGTCGTGCCACCTGGTGGGGGGGAAGATTAGCAGCGTTGTAAGCTTCCAATGATGATAAAAAAAACACCTGAGAAGACACCAGAGAGAACATCTGAAAAATCACCTGAGGGGCATGAAGCGCACCTGAGCGGGCAGGAGTGGCCGCAGTCAAAGGGCTCGCCGCAGGGGAGGCTGCAAGGGGGGCACGCCCCGTAGTGACAGCGATGCGGCTGTGATTATAAGGGGGGGAAGGGGATGGCAAGGGGGGGGAAGGGCTTGTATTTGTCGCCTGGGGTGTGCCCTCCTTGCAGAAGAGATGGCAGAAGAGATGGCAGCAGAGATGGCAGCAGAGATGTGCATACAGGGGAGGGTGCATGCAGGGGAGGGTGCATGCAGGGGAGGGTGCATGCAGGGGAGGGTGCATGAGTCACTCACCCGACAGGAATCCCCGTGGTGGCATGTGGGGGGCACGGGGCAGCGCATGTGGCACCTGGGAGGGCGCTGCTGCTTCTCCGCTCCACAGGGGACCTGAGAGGCATGGAGGGGAGAAGGGAAGGGAGCGAGCGAGCATACGAGGAGAGAGGGCAACCAGGGTCCGGGGGTATGGAGCAGTGCATGTGGCACCTGGGAGGGCGCTGCTGCTTCTCCGCTCCACAGGGGAGGGGACCGGGGAGGCATGGAGGAGCGAGGGGAGGGAGGTAGAGGGGTCTGCGTATGAAGAATAAGGGGAATGAGCGGCACAGCACCCAGTGATAGGGGCATGGCGAGGCAAGGCGTGTGGCACCTAGGTGGGCGCTGCTGCTTCTCTTCTCCACAGGGAACCTAAGAGAGCGATGGAGAAGAGAGGGGGGAGGGAGAGGAGGTAGAGGGGGCAGCATGGATGAGGTGCACAGCATGCACTGTGAAGGGCAGCGCATGTGGCACCTAGGTGGGCGCTGCTGCTTCTCTTCTCCACAGGCCACCACCCGAGAGAGGCATGGAGAAGGGAGGGAGAACTGGGAGAGGGCAGAAAAAACAAGAGGGGAGAGCAATGAAAGTTGTAGTACATCCAACAACAAACAAGAGAAGACGAGGGTGAGATGACGAGAACGAGCCTACAGAGTTCTTATTTAGAAATCGGATGTGGAGAAGTCCAGAAAAAAAAAACAAATTCCTGAAAAGAGTATTTTGCAACCCAACCAAGCTTAAAATGCAATAGAGAGAGCGTGACTCACGGAAAAAGCAGTGGTGCCACAGAAGCATGCAATGCGCACTGTAACAGGGCAGGGCGCACAGGGGCCGCTGGAGGGAAGGGAAGAAGAGGGGGAAAGGAGCACACAAGGATCACAGAAGCATGCGATGCACACTGTAACAGGGCAGGGCGCACAGGGGCCGCTGGAGGGAAGGGAAGAAGAGGGGGAAAGGAGCACACAAGGTTCACAGAAGCATGCAATGCGCACTGTAACAGGGCAGGGCGCACAGGGGCCGCTGGAGGGGTGGGAGGGAGAGAGGAAAGCAAAGAACTAAGACATCGCTAAGAGAAGTGGGAATTCAGGGAACCAAGGCATCGGGAAGAAGTTGGAAAGCATGGACAGCAAGCAGGCAACGCATGGGGTGAAGGTAGGCGGGGAAAGTTACAGGGAGAAAGGTACAAGGCACTGTGAAAGGGGTTAGATGAGAAAGGGAGGAGGGCAGTGGCACTGTTAACGGAAGTTGGGGGCTTAGCTGACCTGTGGCAAGGAGCGGGACACTTGTGGTTACCACACCGTAGCTTGCGACCGCACACCTGCACACAGAAGCATGAAGAAATAAAAGCTTAGCGTAAGACCCCCGGGAACGGAAATCGACGCGTGCAAGAGAAGGGGATAAGAGCAAAGAAGAGAGTAACAAGAAGAACAAGTGGCGTGCAGATGCCACTTTCTGCCCTTTGAGTCAATTCAAAAGCGTGTGGGACTTTTGAAATGACTCAAAGGTCACCTCGTTACACTGGCACACCACACGCTTTCAGTCGACTCAAAAGTCGAGAGCCGCCTCGTTTTGAGTCGACTCAAACGAACAAGTAGCACGCAGCCAGCCTTGCAGCCTCGTGTGGGCACGAAGCACTTGCGTGCAGGAGGGCAGTTGGTTGGACGGAGTACCGCAGCTCACAGTGCCACTTCTTTCCCCCTTTACTCAACTCACAGGAGGATGTATGTAGTCTCAGTGGGCTGCGGTGTGTTTTTTAGGCCCCTCAAAACTAGCATCAGTGGGCTGCGGTGTGTTTTTTAGGCGCCTCAAAACTAGCATCAGTGGGCTGCGGTGTGTTTTTTAGGGACAGCACCTTAAGACACACAACACAACAGTATACCCTGAGACCGGTCAGCGAGAACCCTCACCTCGGGGCAGGGGGGGCAGTCGCCAGCACAGCAGCGGCGCTTGCACAGGTGGCGCCCGCACGGCCTGCCACGCTGGCAGCGGCGATCACACAGATACTCCTGGTGGCAGGGGAGCTGATGGGTTTGGAAAGAGAGCAAGCAATAATTGGAGGAGGGAGAAGGGAGAGGCTGTGTTGGGGTGCAAAGATCATTGACTAAATGAATCTCACGGCCTGTCACACTGCCAGAGGCAATTGCACAGGCATACCTAGCTGGTTGGGGCCGAGAGGAGAAGGACGAAGAGAGCGGGTGTGATGGATGGGAAAGGAGTGTTAACTGAATTGACCCACTGCACTGCACCGCACCGCACTGCCTGTCCCACTGGCAGCAGCGATCAAGTACAAGCCGACACTTCCTTACTCAGTCCGCCGCACTGACACCCCTTGACCACCACAATCATACAAGTTACAAGCACTCCCCCACGTGATGCATCTTCTCCGTACGCACATTGTCAGATTATAATGCTTGTCTAGTCTGTAGTGGGGTACTCAAAAGTGAGTATAACCCTTTTGGGCTTGCTACTTGTATCCCTCTCCTTTGTAGTTCAATCACTTCTTCTCCTATTTCTCTTTCATATACCTTAAAACCTAGCTATGGCTTCTTAGCCTTAGCTACTATCTTAACATGGTATTCAGAGTAGGCACCTTCCTGCTGCCTTCCTTAACGGGCCCACCAGTCTGCTTCCGCTGCCTGTCATCCTGCCGCGCGCCTCGGGCGCGCGGCGTTGACGCACGGCGATTTTCTGCCCGCCGTGTGCTCGGGGCGCACGGCGGTTTTCTGCCCGCCGTGCGCCCCGGGCGCGCGGCGTCTTCCTGCCCCGCGCGCGGCCTGCTCTCACGCCGCCTGTGCGCCTGCCCCACGTCCGCGCGCGGGCCTGTTCTGCCCGCCCGTACCCTGCCCTTCACGGCGCCCTGCAGAGGCGCCGCTCCTGCTCGTCGCGACGCCCCTGCGGCACCCGTGCGTCGCCGCTCCTGCTCGTCGCGACGCCCCTGCGGGACCCGCGCGGCGTTGCCCTGCTCGTCGCGACGCCCCTGCGGGACCCGCGCGGCGTCGCCCCTGCTCGTCGTGGCGCCCCTGGGGCGCCGCCCCTGCTCGTCGCGGCGCCCCCTGGGCGCTGTCCCTGCTCGTCGCGGCGCACCCCCGCCTGGCCGCCGCCTCTGCCTCCCCTGCGTCCGCGCCTGCTTTGCAGCAGCGCGCGGGCCTGCCCTGCACCAGCGACGTCGCCCCTGGAGCAGCCGCCCCTGGCCCCTGGAGCAGCCGCCCCTGCAGCAGCCGCCCCTGGCCCCTGGAGCAGCCGCCCCTGCAGCAGCCGCCCCTGGCCCCTGGAGGGTATGGGGGTGGCGGGTGTGGGGGTGATGAGTGTGGGTGCTACCCTTCCCCTCCTCCTCCTCCTACTTCGTCTCCCACTGCTGCAGCTGCCGCTGAAGGGGGGTGGATGTGTGGGAGCCGAGGGGAGTGGAGCTAAGGGGGTGTCGTGGGAGTGGAGACAGGGGTGCAGCAAGGGAGTGTGTGAGAAGGGGGTGTGGGACTGTTAGGGGAGGTAGAGCGGAGGTCGCCGTCGTGTCGTCAGCAGCGCCAGTAGTCCGGAGCCCTCGTGCTCTCGGTAGCCCAGCGAGCCTGCTTCGCCAGTCGCCTGTGGGTCAGTTGGTCCTGCCGCTCGTCGTAGCCGCGGAGCCAGATACTCCCGTAGTCCGGTGCCCTCGTGCGCTCGGTAGCCACTGTGCGCGCCGCTCCTGTTGCCCGTGTGCCTGCAGCTTCAGCCGTCGCCTCCTATCTCCTCTCCTCACACAGTCCTTCCTCCTCCTCACCTGCCCTCTGTGACTGTCTCTAGCTCTGGTTGTGCTTGTGACTTATTTTATGACTTCTTGCTGTACTGATTATACCCCATTTTGACTATGGGGGTGTGTCAGATTATAATGCTTGTCTAGTCTGTAGTGGGGTACTCAAAAGTGAGTATAACCCTTTTGGGCTTGCTACTTGTATCCCTCTCCTTTCTAGTTCAATCACTTCTTCTCCTATTTCTCTTTCATATACCTTAAAACCTAGCTATGGCTTCTTAGCCTTAGCTACTATCTTAACACACATGTCATGCAATGCTTTGCAATACCATGCACCCAGATTAGGCACAACAAGCACCTTCTCGTTATAAGGCTCTCGCTCACCTCTTTACTGACTCTGCCACACCGGCACCCCGTCACCACCACAATAAGGCAGGGTTTAAGCACACGTGGCGCATCTCTTTACCACACACACATGTCATGCAATGCCATGCAACGCAATGCAGCAGTACAGGGCAAGATAAGCACCACTTTGTTATAAGCCTCTCCCTCGCCTCTTTCGTCACTCCACCGTACCAGCACCCCTTCACCACCGCAAGGGGGGTTTTCGAACACTCCCCCACGTGACACCTCTCCGCACACACACACACATCCCATGCGATGCACCAACCCACTCAGGGGAGTGGTTTGATTCAACTCAGACACACAAACTCCCCTTTCCTTACAAGGATGACGTCTGAGACGCCTCAAAAGTAGTCACAACCACTCCCCCCCGCTCTCTATCCTTTCCTTTCTTACAGGGATCTCAACTCTTTCGTCACTCCGCCGCACCGGCACCCCTTCACCACCACAATAAGGCACGTTTTCGAGCACTCCCCCACATGGCACCGCTCCACACACACGTGCCATGCATGCATGCACCGATGCAACCGAGTCCATCCTAGTATTCTCACCTCTTTAGTCACTCCGCCGCATCGGCACCCCTTCACCACCACAATCAAGCAGCTTTTCGAGCACTCGCCCACGTGACACCTCTCCGCACACACGTGCAATGCAATGCATGTACCCACACAACCAGCTTTTCATAACAAGCCACTCACCTCTTTAGTCACTCCGCCGCACCGGCACCCCTTCACCACCACAATAAGGCACGTTTTCGAGCACTCCCCCACGTGACACCGCTCCACACACACGTGCCATGCATGCATGCACCGATGCAACCAACAGTCACAGGAGTCTCACTCACCTCTTTCGTCACTCCGCCGCACCGGCACCCCTTCACCACCACGATAATGCACGTTTTCGAGCACTCCCCCACGTGGCACCGCTCCGCACACACGTGCCGCCCGCAAGCCAAAGGCTTTTCGCACGTCGCCCCACAGGGAAGCGCCGGCTTGTCACAGGGTAACCCCTCGTACGATTTCTTCCCGCACGGGCAGCTTCGCCTGCCCGAAAGCGGGCATTCGCCGCAGTCCCCCGCATGGCACTCCACCTCGCACTTGTGCCGCCCGCACGGAAACTTTTTCCCGCAGATCTTCCCGCAGCTGAAATTTCTTTTTGCGCAGGGAAGGGTTTTTTTCACCTGCCCGCATCGGCAAGAAAAGCTTCCCTCTCGATCGCAGGGCGGGCAGCTACCCGGATGACACGTGGCGTCGCAGGAGTGGATGCCGCAGGCGAGGCGGCTGCCGCAGCGGGCAGCGCAGGAAAATTCATGCTGCCCGCAGCGGCAAACATCCTCTTTCTTGCCACAGTGGCAGCGGGAGCGAATGAGCTGGGGACACGGGGGACAGGGGCCGGGGTGACACAGCAACGTGCATTTATGACCACACGCCACGTCAGCTTCCCTCTCCGCCTCCCCTCCCCCTCCTCCTCCGCCTCCGCCTCCCCCTCCTCTCAGCTCTCTCTCACAGGGTTCCCCACAAGAATGGGGGGCCAGCCAGGGATCAAAGGGGGGATCCTTCACCCGCCCGCAGTAGCATTGGTATTCCCGAGGCAGATCACGCTCAGGATACTCGGTTCGGCACTTGGGGCAGTGCCACGTGGCAGCTACTGGTTGGCCCTTAGAGGAGGAGGAGGAGGAGAGAGAGGAGGCTTGGATTCCCTGTCTAGCCCACGACTGAATACAGACAAGATGGAGTGAACAGTAACAGCCGCCCCGGCAGGACCAGATCGGATCTGAGGATCTGATCCTCTCCAGGCACACCAGACAGCTGGCGCCGCCCGATTGGACGGCGTTCAGGTGGTCCCGGATCTTCTCCAGACCTGCTGTAAAAGTAGGATCGGCAGAAACAGGTTCGGAAACGCCACTCCCCGCCCTCCCCCCTCCTCCTCCGCCTCCCCCTCCCCCTCCCCCCCTCCCTGCTAGATAAGCCCCGAAAATCGCCTCTTCTAGCCGTTCCACACTAGCCTTCCCCTTGGATCCCCCTCCCCCTTCCGCGCCTTCCCCCTCCCCCTCCGCGTCCGCCTCGTCCCCCTCCCCCTCCTCGTCGCTGCTGTCAGAGAGCAGCGCGGGGAACTGCTGCGCCAGGCGCGCGAGGTCCGTGATGAAGGGGAGCGGGCGCATGGTGGAGGGGAACGCGGAAGGGAACGCGGAAGGGAACGCGGAAGGGAACGCGGAAGGCTGGGAGACCACGGCGGAAGTGGGGAATCCGCCAGCGGTAGGAGCAGCGGAAGACGAAGTGGAACTGGCGGCGGCGGTGCTGCTAGCGCTGTTGCTTGCGGTACTACTATTACCCCCCATGCTACTATAAGTACCCATGCTACGGTTCGGTCCCCACCCCCCTGCTCCCCCGCCTCCAGCACCGCCGCCCCTGCCTGGTCCGCTTCCGCCTGTGCGCGCATCCCCCCCTCCCCTTCCGCTTCCCCCGGCTCCGCCAGATCAGTTGGAGCTTGCGCCAATGCCCGCGCCGGCTCCTCCGCCAGCTACCCCCCCTCCGCCCGCTCCCCGCCCGCATCCGCCTACAGTCCCGCCGCCGTCGCTAGCGCCCCCGCCCCTGCCTCCCCCTCTTTTCGCGCCACGCCCGCCGCTTCCCCCTCCGCGATCTCCTCCGCCACTTCCGCGGCCCTGCGCTGCCGCGGGCCCGCTAAACGCGGGGTTTGGCCCGAGAATTCCGGAAGACGTGAGTTGCGGTCGAAGCAGTTGCGGCGGCTGCTGGCGCTGCGGCTGGCGCGCGCCTCGTCCGCGTCCCGCCTGACGAGACGGCACCTCGCTCCACTCCCCGTCATCCATAGTTACGAGAGGTAACGCGTCAAAAAATACCGGATTAACCCTGCACTAACAGCTATTCCTCTCACTCCATTCGCTGTCGTCCATTGCTACGAGAGGTAACGCGTCGAGATCCGTTTTATCCCTGCATTATCCGTGTTACCCTTCGCTCCATCGCAACGCTTCACGCAGAGGGCGTGAGGAACCGCATTCGCAAAAGGCAAGTACTTGATAATGCACCATAGGCCTTGTGGTGCATTGTCGCTTTATCGGTAAGTTTTGTAAATGAGCTATAGCCAATCTGCGAAAACAGCTCTCGTAGCTCAGTTGGTTAGAGCGTATGGCTGTTAACCATAAGGTCGGTGGTTCAAGCCCACCTGGGAGCGGTTTTCACCTCTTGCCTTTTCTCCAAGGCCAATGATTTGTTCAATCAGACAAACAAGTTGTTGGTGTTCAACAAGGCCCTTGTTCGGCTGGGGCGCATCGAGCTCAGGCTCGGAAACCGGCTACAGGAAAATAATCACCCTCAATCTTTCCTAGACGATCGATTGAGAGGTTATCAAGCCTCGAGATAAGCAGGTTGCTGCCGAACCTGAGCGCATCAAAATGCCTGTCGGATGGGCTTTTTTATGCTAGCGTTGTTTACCATATGTTAGTTCCATGAAATTGTCTCTTCTAGCAAAATGACGCACCATTGATGTGCGCATGGTGCGTCATCGAAAACCTGCACCATGCGGCGGATCAATGATACGGGGCACCCTCACCGTGCCCCGATGTATCCTCCTCCCCTACTCCATCTCCCTCCTCCTCTCATGACCTCTCTCACCCTGCCGTGCTTCTGCATCACTGACTTGGCCATCCCAATTTCGCTACTCTCCGCACCGCTGTCACCTCTCACCTCCTTGACAGCCTCCCTGCCACCCTTCCTCCTCTCCCCTCCTCCTTCGCTCCCCCCTGCACATCCTGCAAACATGGCAAGCTCAAATAGTCCCCCCATCCCAGCCATCCCTCCTTTGCTGCAGCTCCGCTCGACCTTATCCACATGAACTTGTGGGGGCCCTCTCCCTCCCCTCCCCGCCAGGGGCACCGATACATGCTTGTCTTGGTCGACGACCACAGCCGATATTCCACTGTTTTCCGTTTTCACACAAAGGATCAGGCCCGCCTGTGATCATCACCTGGGTTGAGCAGTGCTGCACCCACTTTAAACTCCCCATCAGCCGCCTTCGTTCAGATCGTGGGGGTGAGTTTCTCAACCGCACCCTCTCCTCCTACTGCAAAACCCACAGCATTCAATAGGCCCACACCCTTCTCCACTCCCCTCAGAAGAGCGGTGTCGTCAAGAGTCGCATTCGTGAGATCACCAAGATCGCTCGCTGCCTTCTTACTTACGCCTCTACCCCACCTTCCCTCTGGAGTTATGCCCTCCTTCATGTCGCTCTCCTCACCAATCTCCGCTCCCACCCCCAGAGTCCCACCACCTCCCCCACAGAGCTTTGGTTAGCTACCAAGCCCGACGTTGCTGGCCTTCGCGTTTGGCGCTGCAAGGCATACATTCTCATTCCTCAACCTGACCGCGCTGCTGGTAAGCTCGCATCTCGTGCCCTGGATTGCGTCGACCTTGGGCACAACCGCGACTCTTCCGGCTACCTGTTCCTTCACCCTCAATCCGGTCGTCTCACTCGCAGCATGACGTCGTCTTTGACGAATATGATCCCTATTACTCCACTCCTCCACTTGACCCTCTTCCCCCTTTGCTTGGACCGATAGTGTCCTCCCACCCCTCCTTGCTCCCACACCCCTCCTCCCACATGTCGATGTTCTGCTTCGACCTCCCTACTCCGCCGATATCTACAACCTTGCCGCCCCTGCCTCCCCGGCCCATTCGGCGCCCCACCCTCCCCCCTCTCCATTCTCCTCCGCCCCAGCACCAGTGGCAGTGGTGGGGGCAGCAGTAGCTGCAGCAGAAACAGTTGTGGGGGCAGCAGTAGCTGCAGCAGCAACAGCAGCAGCAGAGGCGTCACACTTAGGCGTAGCCGCCCGTTCCTCCTCTTTTCTCCTCCCTCGCATGCACACCCGCTCCCTTGACCCCACTCTCAGCCCCCCACCTCCCTCCTCCCTCCAGCTCCTTGAGGACTGCTATAAGGAGTTCCTTGACGTTCAACTGTATACCTCATTCCTTGCCCCGCTCTTTCCTGATTTCCTCGGCTTTCCTGACCTTGGCGCTACCTCCCCCCCCACCATCTTCACTCCCACCACCTTCCAGAAGGCCATCACCTGCCTTGATGCGGACACATAGATTGCGGCGATCTTCCAGGGTTGTGAGGCGTTCATCCGCAACACCTCCTTTGTCGACGTTCCTCTCCCGGCCGGTGCCAACCTCGTAGAGGGCAAGTGGGTATTATGGGTGAAGCAGTTGGCGGGCGAGGTGTCGGTCTACAAAGCCCGCTACAACGCCAAGGGCTTAACATGGACTTGGATTGTGGATTTCTGGGCTACCTTCGCCCCCACCGCCAAACCTCCCACACTTTGGTGCGTCCTTGCATTGGCGCCCGCGACAATATGGAGATATGTTTCATGGATGTCTCCAACGCCTTCTTGTAAGGTGATCTGCACGAGTGAATCTTCCTGCGGTGGCCTCTTGATTTCCATGCTTTGCAGACACCGTATAGCAGTTGCGTCGCCCGGTCTATTGCTTGAAGCAAGCGCAAAGGGAGTGGACTGCCAAACTATCCGCCACCCTCAGTCCCTTGGCTTCTCTGCTTCTCACTCTGACGCCAGTCTCTTCATTCGCTCCTCACCTCGTCGGTTCTTCGTTTCGGTATATGCCTACAGCATGATACTGCTTGCTGATTCCAAGGCCAAGCTCGCCCCACCCCCCCCACCCTCCTCCTCCTCTTACCCCTATCCCGAGCTCGTTGGATCGCTCAATAGCGGCCGATGCCAACTTGGCTGACATCTTTACCAAGGCTCTCCTTCGCCCTGCCCATCCGGCTCTTCTGCATCTCATTGGCCTTGCCCGCCCGGGCGCCCCTTAATTTAAGGGATGTTCACTACTAGCCTTAACATGCTATGTGAATGTACACCAAATGTGGTGTACAGTTGGGTTGGGACAACACCCAACTTTGGGTGTAGTCTTGCACTCGGGGTGCCAATCCAACCCAATTATGGTGGAGCCCCCAAATTGGAACCATTTGGTCCTTAGGTTGGCAACTTCTTGGGAAGTTGCCAGCCCAACCCACTTGGCCATAGGTTGGCAACAATTTCTCAAGAAGTTGCCAACCCAACTCACTTGGCCACATGTTGGCAACACCCCCCCAGGTGTTGCCAAACTAACCCAATGGGCCATTGGGTTGGCAACACTCCCCCAGGTGCTGCCAAACTAGCCCAATGGGCCATTGGGTTGGCAACACTCCCCTAAGTGTTGCTAAACTACCCAATGGGCCCTCCATTTCTAAGCCTCAACCATCATCTGCTCCTTATCAGCAACCCCAGTCAACGTCAGCGTCGGAACTAGACTTGAAAAAACGGAAGGAGGTTCTCTAGCAGGTTCTTAAGGACACCCTTCCTGTTCCCCCGTCTTCATCTCAACCTCAAACCTCTCACCCTAGGCCTTCGTCTTCACGTGACCATCCCTCACCTACCTTAGCCCCTGCTCCAGTTACCACAGCAGATGCATTTGACTCCATGGCCCCTGCAGACGACTCGCACCCGCTATCACACTACGAAAACACTTCTTCTCCGCAACCCCCTCCTAGTTCCTCTACCCCTCCCCCTCCCCCTCCCACATCCCCCTCTACCCCCCCCCACCGTGCCTTCTCCCTCCAATCCTCCTCCCACTGCCCATTCTTTCTCCTGCCCTACACCTCGCCATCCTTGTGCTAATCTGGTGCCTTGGCTCGCCATACCAATTCCTGTCAGCAAAACTCTGCTGCAAGACAACAAGTTGGGTGTCCTCCTCCTCGCCCCGCCCCCCGTGCTCAAGCTGCAACTGCACAGTCCTCCTCTCCGCCGGCAATTCCTTCCGCCACCAGGGATGCTGTCCTTGAGTGGGATTGGCCTGCCTTCTTTAGCCCTACAGTTTCTCCTGGACCCATCCTTCACCGTATTCCTCCTCGCATTCGCCTTCTCGTGCTTGATGCCTTGCCTATCTCCCTAGGACGCTTGTGCAACATCCTTCTGACACTACTGCACACCTTATTATGCTTGCTTTCCCGCGCCTCGTCCTTCGCTTGACTGCCACAGCACCCTCTCAATCGCTTACTTCAGCATGCACACTTCAAGCTCAACGCTTCATTAGCGGTGATTGGCATGCTCTCTTCCTCGAAGCCTCCGCCGCTTCTACACCCGCTGCGCGCCCCCTTGCCCTTGCTTCAGCTTGCTCTACAGCCACCCAAGCACACCTTTATCGAGCTGCAGGGTTTGCTAAGTGTGGGGACTGGTCCCGCTCACTGCCTGCGCTAGAAGCTGGCGAACTCGCTCCTCCTTCTTCTGAGACAATTTCATCCCTCTCCTCGAAACATCCGCCTTCATCGGAACCCCTCCGCCAATGGATTTCCTCCTTCACCCCAGATTCTTACCCGCAGCTTTCTGCTCCACCCCTCCACTTGGCTCTTCAATCGACCCCACGGGGAACCGCTGCTGGCCCTTCAAGTTGGTTGATCGAGTATCTCAGGGACACATTCCTTACTACCCTGCAGCACCTTCCCTCCCTCCTCCGCCTCTTCTAAAACTGGTTGCAGGGCGACCTTCCACCCTCAGTCCATTCATATTACACCGCATCCACTCTTGTAGCCCTCAAGAAGTCGCAGGGTGGGATCCTGCCGATCGCTATAGGAGAAGTTCTCCCACGTCTTCTTTCCCGCTGCATCACCCTCATGTTCAAGCAGCAGCTGCGAGACACCTTCCTCCCCTGCCTTCAGTATAATATGCCTTTTTTCTTCATCCTCATTGGGCGGTGCTTCAGCTTGACGTCGTAATGGCTTCAACTCCTTCATCAGGACTGCCATGTTCGAGGCCCTCCGGTCCTCAGCCTTCTC